ATAACAACTGTTAATTTTAAAGCTATAAAGTATTCTCTCTCGCAAGATATCTCTATGTACATTGTTAATTACATACAGAGGCCAAATCAAACTAAATATTTGTAATTTGAATAGACGCATGGGTATGACTAACTATTATGCATTAGAACTACACGTGGTTTTGGTATAATATCCTAATTGATTTCTCTTAAGAAAATTTCTGCGACTTTACCCGTATCAGTAAAATTATTTTCTGTAATCTAACACTCCATTTTTCGAATTGACATAAAAAAAATAGCATTAAACTATTTTAATATTTGTGAGCGTCATAAGTTTGCCTTCAGTTTGGAAAAAAAAAGCCTTCAGAAATGAAAAAGAACTAACGAAGGAGACTTAGCTAGATTAGACTTTTTTTTTAGCACACATAGTGGTTTAAGTAACCACTTAATAAATTGCCGCGTTGCATCCTCAATTATACCTAAGCCATTTTCTCATTCTATTTTCTTTTATACACATACAAAAATCTTAAAAAGCTAAATCTAACATAAAATGACGTTTACACGACTCACATTGTCCCATAAATGTGTAATTGTATGCCATAAATCCTTTTTTTTATTGATAATCCTTTGTCCAACAAGGGCCATTAATTAAAAGAAAATTTGAAATATTCTGTATTCCTTCGTGCGCTTATTTATAATAGGTATAAAACTAGCTATTTTTATACTTACTTTAATTCTTAAATGATATTATTGCATACAATTATTGCTTAGTTCCAACAAACTACTTAATGAAAAAGTCTGAACTCTGAAGCTATAAATAAAAACCTTTTTAACTGTTTTTAACATATGACGTTGAACGTATAAAAATAAACATTTCGCTAAAATAAATCAAGCATGCACTAAAAAATTTACGTCCGTGACATCCGTTATATATTATGTGCCAAATAAAAATTAGTTTTCAATATCGAATTTCACATGTTGTGTTTACTTATGTTTTTCATTAGATGTTTTAGAAAAACGCGACCAACTCTAAGGGATGCTATTGTTTCTCAAGTATTTATATAATGTATATGTTGCAGGATAATTTGATTATTCGAATTTTCGCAAAATACCTAGGGGATATCGTGAAAACACGGATAATTAGACAATGGTGAAAATATTTCTCAATCTTACTGGAAAAAGATAGGGTTTTTGTAAAAACATGTTCTAACCTAACCAATCTTAGCCTTCGCCTTTTCTTCTTAGCCTTCTCAACCTACGTTATACAAGTCGGAAATGTCACGTTATCAAAAAATAAAAAAACCTGACCATTGTCTAACTATCCGTGTTTTCGCAATATCCCTGGGGTTTTCACGAAAATTCTAATTATCAAATTATCCTACGACATATATAATAGATGTCTTTTCTTTGTCACAAAACAAAACACAGGACGAATTTAATAAATTAAAACATACGAGGATTCAACGTTAGCTGCGTGTTAGCTTGAGACTAATATTGTTTGTATATGTATTTAAATATGGCGCCTGCAATCAAAATGGAGTAAAAAAATACTGTTGTTAATATTATTATAACAATATAGGTATCAAAAACGCATTATTAATAGTCAATTTTAAATATGTATATTCATCTCTATGGTATTTTAGTACTAGCTATAAAAAAGTAAGTCAGGGTTTTTTTTCATTTTTTTTTATTAATAAAATTTGTATGATAAAATTATTAAGTCGAGGTAGGCAATACTTATGTCAATTGTCACATAACGTTTATTAAATGTAAATGAATAATATCCAAATATTTTGGCTTGTTCGTTGAAGCTAAATAACTCTACTGGAAACTTAAAATGTCTATTCATTAATAAACTAAATAGTGACTAAATGCAGTTACAGAACGCTTTGAGAATTTCACATAGATTGCTTAATTTACAACACTAGCTACGACAATTATAGGGTTAATTCTTGTGGTTCTACATTATGTATTCGCTTAGCATTCCCTAAAAGCTAATAAATTAAGATTTAAGCAATGTTTATTTTGAATTTGTTCAAATATTCTACTAAATAAGAATTGTACAAAAATATAAATTAAAATAAAAAATATATGTAAAACGAGGGATTTTCTTACACTTTCCAGCTAAAAGACTGGATACATATGTATGTATTTGAAAATGAAAAAAATTAATGGTATCTACAATAAATTCTTAGTATAATGTGTAAAATAATCCATTTATGTTAGAAAATCATTTATGTACTTTATTTAAACTACCAATTAATGAAGATACAAAATATTATACTGATATAAGTAAAATATTTTTTATTAAATATGTTCCATACAAATTATGTAACTCTCTTTTATCTTCTTAAACGTAGAAATTATGAAAAATAATTAAAATATATACTTACTTAAGTTATTTTAAATTATATACCATATGCTCCTGGTTTTCAATTAAGTAATTAAGTAGTGACAAAAAAAAAACTTTTTCTGTGCACTTAACATGTATACTCGTATTAATAACAACCTATCAAAGTTAATATTTATATAGCATTGTATCCAGAATTCAAATAGAATATCATTAGAGAAATAATTCTGATCGAATGTTTTGAGAAAATAACAGCGCGAGGATTGAAATCGCAAAGGCGGGCAGTCGGTGCGCTGCCAAAACGAGACTCGAGGTTTTCCCGCCCAAAGCTCCGAGCTGCGCTATGTACATACACGTACTACTTTCATTCATGCATATAATTAATATTAGGCAAAGCTTCTTACCTAACACAATAAGTGAGCGTAATACTAAGACAGAAATAACAAAGTTAAAAGAAATATCTAACAACAAATTTAATAGAAATAGACCATTTAAAACTCTTTAGACCATTAAAATTATCTTCATATTTATTAATTAAGATTTAGATAAAATTATCAGATAAAACATTTATATTTTGTTGTACCTACAGTACAATATGTATTTTCGTCGTGGACAACGAAGCTGACCTTAAAATTTTCATCGATCAGAATTTAAAAAGAATAAATTAATTAATACTTTTTTCAAACATACATATATTATTATTCATTACTCCATAAGGTTTAAACACATGGCATCACATCTTTTCAGATTTAAAACTTGACACACTTTATAATGAAAATTGCTCTAACCCAAAAATCCAAATATCGAAGTTCCAACATATAAAAGTTGGAAGGTATTATGTATATGTATTAAAGTTAAATTGGTTCGAGAGTATCTTTTTAACCATAATTTTTTAAATTATTTGTTAGAATTTAAACTTAAAGTTACCAAACTTTTACATTTATTTGTCATTTCACCCCCCTAAAAATGATTTTTTAAAAGTAACCATACTTTCCTGTGTTTTTAGGTTGGCCTTTTAGCCGTAAAAATATAGCGAATAAGCATTAAAATGTACAATAATGGCAATAATCAAGTGGCGGTAACGTGTTGTTAGTAACGTAACCTTAGTTTAATTTTATGGCTAGTATTAATGCCAAGGATCGACCGAGATAATAGCATGTATTTAGTTTATTAAGCCTAACAAACATTAAGCTAAACGATTGCGTCGCGCTACACGCTGTGACTAACTAGCTCTGTCTTCTTCCCGAAAGGTCGCGAGGTCAATATCCGCTATGATGTTTTAACCGACTTCCAAAAAGGAGGAGGTTCTCAATTCGTTGGAATCTTTTTTTTTACGTAGGTATGTTCACGAAGTAGTCCCATATAAATATTATCGAAATCGGTCGAGCGGTTTTTTAAAAAAAATCAACAATAATTTTTTTTTTGTTGTTATTAAAAAACTTTCTTCTTATAAATTACCTGCTTATTACGTCTACACTAAAAATGGAAAAAAAATAAAAAAATCAAAACCGACTTCCAGGCAGTGAAATGTAAAAAATAACTAAACGGAGGTTTTCATTTAGAATAGATACCTAATCAGATATTTTCGAAGTCGGTGCCAGGCGACAATATTTTAAGATATGAATATCTAATAGGTAAATATGTATTTTACGTATCGAAATATATTAACTTTGCTAAATCAAAGATAAATCCAATCCAAAAATTAATCGGCTGGCACACTACACTAATTTTTCATAAGCCAACACTAATACGAGCTTATTATAAATAGTGCTTTGACGGTACCCAGGGAAATAAAAAAGAACTTTGCGACGAAAATATTAAATTGTACTCTTTACAGGGAAATGAGACTCTAGTGAAGTAGCTGTTTCTTAGTTCTAACTGAATTTCTCTTTATAGGTATAGGTAGGTATGTAGGTACATAGTATATCTATATAAAATATATAAGATTAGTTGAATTATTTATTTATTTGGTAATCTTATAACTTTACAAAAATAATAAAAATAGAGTTTGAGCACAAAGTTATAAACAAGTACGGCCAAAATTTGATTACTCTATTGTGATAGCTTATATAATGGATAAATAAATAATAATAAAAAATAACTTATATAAATTTGAGTGAATTAAAAATGTTCTTTTTAATACTAATATAGGAATATATAAAGTAGCAACAAAAATATATTAAAAGCAATCACCTCGTAGACAAACACCCAGTTTAATATTTGACCGTCAGTCTGGTTAATTGTCACGATAAACAATTATTTCATGGCTAATGGAGTTCCTTTTAACTGAAATGAAGTCTGACGTCAATTATTAAAAGGGGTATCAGGTTAAATGTGATAATTTTTTCAATGCATATTTATACAATGCTTAAAATGCCTAATGGTTTTAACAAGAAAAACCTGACATCAGGTGGCAGATGAAATAAAACATTATTGAACACTAACATAATAGGTATTCTTCTATTTTTCTATTGATTTTTTCGTTTTAGTCACATTGTCATCAGTCTTTAGAGATGAGTGATAATTTCTGTCACGAGTCTTTTTTTTATTATTACAAGAAAATCTCAACTCTCAAGCATATACAATCAATCTTAACTATACATACTAATATCCATGCTAATATTATAAATGTGAAAATTTGTGAGAATGTATGGATGTTTGTTACTCTTTCAAGCCAGAACAGCTCGCAGCACAGCACACAGAACAGCACGCAGCAGCAGCAGCAGCAGCAGCAGCAGCAGCAGCAGCAGAAATTTGGATGTTACTTGATGAAATTCGGATGAAATTTGAATAGATTTGTTTTTGTCTAGGGACGAAGCCGAAAGTAGCGCGGGTGAGTTATTGGTGTTAGGTGAGTATACAGTAACAGAAGCCTGTACAAATTGGGTAGCTTATAGCAGATACCTGACTTATGTACCTACACATTTAAGAAGTATCATGTAAACCTAAGTATTAAGAACTAAAAAGACAGACTTACAGATTTTCGCGTTTATACTCGCAATATTTGAATTATTTTTAATAGTGTAATGGTGAGGCTTTAAAATTTACTTTAGTAGGTACAAGTCGTTACTTTAATATTTTATAGCAAAATTCTGGAGTCAATAAATTACGTTTTCATCGCCTTTTACGGGGGGAAAATGAGGAAAGAGACCGGGTTATCTAATAAGCAATTACCTATTTTGTAACACCCTAATTACCCATATTAATTTTCACACCTAGTTAAAATCTCTTCCCATTTAGGAATAACAAAATACAACATTTTGAACTCGAAAATTCTTAGTTTACTATCAAATTATTTCTCCGAAGACGTTGGACTATTGTTGTCTTGTGTTTTGTTTTTCAAAGATACTACGAAAAACAATGTTTTTTTGCGACTGTTAAATTAAAAACGAATCGAACGAAATATCGAACCTATCTTAAACCTATCTTAAAAACTACATACCACCGAATCAAAATCTCTTTAAAAGTATTTTAGAAACTCTATTATCTCATTTTTTGAAGTAAAAACTTTTATAGGCAAGTTTTGTATACGGAGTAAATTCATGTAAGTCATCATCGACATGGTCATGTGACGTCACTCAGAGTGCCGATAGATGTCAAAACCAGATAAATGTAAACAGTTACAAATTCTTATTTAAGATCAAACAATTAGTTTGAATATCCAAAAATAACAATTGTTTTTTTATAGTGTTAACTTTTAAGTTTTAACTTCTATCGGCAGTCCTCATGACTGCTTTTTTAATGTGGCACACTTCATACTTGAAAGTCGGAGGGGAAGGACAATGTTTTAAAAGCATATAACTCAACAAGCTTTAGCATAAATAAAAAAATCGTTAATATAGTTGTTATGACACCCACTACACACTAGCTTATGTACACTTAATTTTCTTTCCTCCTAAGTTACATTACATATAAGTGCAAATAATAAAAAAGAGAATTTATTATTTTACGTAATTTAACAATAGCAGCGTCTAAGCATAAAAATGAAGTACCTTTAGCGGAAATTAAATAAAAGCCGCATGTAATTGAGGATAGACGATAATTCTGTCAGTACTTAGAACATATTTAAATACCCATACCCAAGTGGCAAGCAATCATAAATAGTAACACGATAATAATATATAAATTAAAGAAATAATGCTTACAACTAAACCATTATTTAAATACGTGTTTTAACAAACATATGTATGTACATAAAGTAATAAAACAATTACTAACAATAAGTGGAACAAAGTAAAAACTAATTGTGTTTGCCCAGGGCAAATGTTTGTTTACAATAACACTCTAAATCCCTTTAATTAAACCCACCTTTAATTATTATTTACTAGCGACTTACGCTCGTTTCGTTCAGGCGTTCTTAATCGCCTTTTGTATTTATATATATTATGTATTACTCCAGGTCAGAGTCTACCTGTTACTTTAGTTCTCTGGCGAATTACTTCAATTCTAATTCCGACATCCCGCGTAGAATTAGCTTGCTGAAGTCGAAGTGGGCCCATAATGTCTCCTGATGGTCAATGGAGCCGAAACTTGGTAGATTGGAGACCGCGTTTTGGCAAGCGTAATGTAGGACGGACGGCGGGCAGTAGATCGAAGCAGGCTGCCCAGGACCGGGATGGTTGTCGCTGATTGGGGGAGACCTTTGTTCAGCAGTGGACGGCGATAGGCTGATTGATAGTTTACCTGTGTATTCAATTTCATACCCGTTTCCGGTTTCGTTTAAGTCTGACCCGAAACTCATACCACTGTACCACAACCAATCGAATGAACTACTGCAATGTGCAACCTAATATTATAAATGTGAAAAAAACTATCTGGTCGTGGCCGGCCCGAGATATTTACACGTTTTTCATCATTAATCTCATTACTTGGTTATTGACATAGTTGAACCCTTTTAACCTTTTAAAATTGATGACCGCCGGTAGTAGTAGTCCGATTATGTGTAGACGCAAATAAAAAAGAGATAAAGACGCTAGAGGCCACATAGGTATGTTTGATTAAACTCTAGGATGCTCCTCGAGGAAACATTGAGTATTGGAGACATTATAGTATTAGCTCTTACTATTTTAACTTTTATGTTGAAAAATTACTTCTTCATTTCACAATGAAAAATTTTAGCCGTGGCAGCATATAAAATGGTTTATTCCTACACTATAATTTGACTTTAAGCAATTTAAAGTATACTAATATTTCTCAGATTCATCCAAAAAAAATTTAATTTATTTTTATGCACAATAGATTAATTTTTTTCTTTATATTAGTATAAATGAATCTATATGAGCTTAAAACAATGCAAAGATCTTGTAAAAACTGCTCATTCAAAAATATTTTATTATAACTTTGTTACAAGTACATCGTAGTAGTATACGTATGTATTTAGAGAAAATATTTGATATTACAAAACAAAGTAATAAATAGAACTCAACACACTACTTATCTAAAATATCGAATTTCAACCTACTTTATCTTTATAGTAATGGTCCAATATTTTCAAGGAACCCTCATCAACCACGGACGTCGAAGTAAGAGCTTTAACCTCTCAGGTAAATGCATAGCAAAAAAATATGTTCAGTGACTTCACATTGCGTTTAAAGAATCTTTACTTATATAGTAATAAATAAATGTTTTTATATATTTCTTCTTTAGGAATTGAACATTTTATACAAACTAATCAAATTAGCGTTGTTGAAATGTTGTTGCTATGCTGCAATTGTATTTTATTTAGTGTTTAGAGTAGAAGTAGAGTATATTTTTTCCGTGTTTAGAGCAGCCCAATATGACATTACTATCTGACCAATTTTATCATTTTTGTTAACAGACATCACTTCAGAGATTTTTTTTATTTTATTTATTTGCATCTAGATTATCCTGGTGCAAAGAAAATATTGTAATATATTATCCCTTATTTTATTATAAAAAGAATGAGAGTCAATATATCAGCATCGCTTTTTTTATTACAACCAACAATAGATATTTTAGAAAATTGGTATAGTGGTATCAAAATGATATTTGTTATTGGAGCAGCATATTTATTTTTATAAATGACAAAAATGTTAAAACAAAAGAATAAAAAGAGAAAAAATAAATAAATATGAAGTAATGTAGATTGTAATACTTTTAGTTTTAATTTGCGGAGAAATTGAGCAATAGCAATCTTTAATGATAACGTCGCTGTAATAACCTTTTAAATCATTATGAACTTCGTTTACAAACTTATCTCTATCTAAAACTTCTATATGCCCCTTTTTCAGTTTTTTTAATAATTCTGTGTCTTTTGTATCGTCGTTTTCATCATATTTTATTGTATATATATTAGAACCTTTATTGCATTTATTTTGGTTTTCATCTATTTCATCATCCAAAAACTCATTATTCTCTTCTAAATATGACTCTTCATAAAAATAAGGCTTTTTAATTTTTCTATGATTTTTATGTGTTGGTATTTTTAAATTATTGACTGCATCTGGATGATAATAAGTATTATAAATGTTATGAGCATCAGTTGGTATACCGACAAAATAAGGAGAATATACATAGTACGGATAATACGTTACAGAAACGGGACTGATTTCAGTTGTTCTGGTACAATCAGGATGAGTTCGATGAGAACAAATTTTCTCGGAGCTTTGTTCTTCTCTTCCATAGTAACGACGATTGTAGGTTGTGTGGAAATTCGATTTCGAGGAACTACATTGTCGCTTAGTCTGTGGTAGTTCAAATGAGTCTGTAGTTGTAATAGGAATTGCAGAGAAGCTTCTTACTTCAATAATTTTGTTATTTTTGTCAGCTAAATTTCTTTTCTCATAATCCATTCCTATTTCTCTTGAAATCATTGTAATATTCTTGGATTCTTTGCTATTAATAATATTTTCTAACTGGCTATGATTTATAGCTTCAATAGGCCATTTTTGCTTTATTTCAAGAGTGGGTGTTTGAACATTGTTTTTGAAAGTAAAATACGTAGTTGATACATATGTATCTTTTTCACGAATATGTTGCTTAATCGATAACATCTCGTTAGATAACATTTTATCAAATATATTTGATATTAAATTTGGCTCTTTTACTCGATCTGAATACAGAGTTTTTTTAAGCAGTTTATGGTTAGACAAAGTTTTATTCTTATTTGTAATTTCTGAATCTGAAATGCAAATGTTACTGAGAATTCCATAAAGTAACTACATATTTAGTATAGATGTTGCATTATTATACCATTACACTCACTATTGCTTGAATTATCATTTTCGTTATTGTTAGTATCAAAACTGTTTATATTGTCCATAAAAATGTTCACAAAAATCATCATATAAAATATATGCAACATAACCAATATGTGGTATGTCATCCATATTCCTACTACATTATCTCCATAGGCAAAAATTATAACATTTCTGACTTTGAAGGAAAAAATCGAGTAGCTCACGGCCTAAATTTTCTTTTATGGTCAGTTATTGTTTACGTCTTCAATTTTATTAAATTTACCATGCAAAAGATAAAAGTTTTCTTTTTTCTGATATATATTCAAAATCTTATTGCTTATCAAAATAAATATTGTGAAATTTGTCTCAATCATATACTTTGTAAGTATCAGGTGAGTAGATTTTGTATTTTTTATTCTACTAGTATATATACAGGTAGTACATAGCTATTGTAATGTACGCTTAATGAGCAAATAATGTACGAAATATTAAAATGCAAAATTTTATACTTTTAAGTATGACACTGCATTCTTATTGTATTACCGTAATATTAGTAAAGGATTTATAAAATAATAGTATTGTAACTTTATTCAATATATTCTTTAATATATTTCAGGATTCTGGACCAAACCCCTTATGTCTAGGATATGAAGAGAAATCCTTGCTTACCCAAGATCAAATTAAAACTATTGTTAATCAAATCAACATAAGGAGAAATTTTATAGCATTGGGTCAATCTAAATTTTTTCATGCAGCTGCTAATATGAAAAAAATTGTAAGATAGATCAGATAGTGTAACTATTCTGAAACAATAGCAAACATTAGCATTTTTTCGTACAAACTTCCACCTTCGACTTTTTCGCGTCTGAAGTGTCACGTACATGTTTTTTAGCTCCTTCCTTCCTTATAACAATGTATATAAATAAAAATGAAATACTGTTTGTAAGCATATCACATGAGAACAGGTCATATTTATAATAGCCCAAATATAGTTTTTATAGGGGACAAAAAATAGAAAAGTTTTCAGGAAAATTCAAAATTCGTTAAAACCGAAAGTGCCTTTTGTATCTATAGAATTTTTCAACTCATAAACAATTTCATTACAATTTAGATTAGCAGGATTGGCAAGTTAATTATTAAAAAGAAACAGTTTTTCTATAATCTTTTTTATTTCTGCAGGTTTGGTCGAATGAATTAGCTGTATTTGCTCAGAGATGGGTCGATCAATGCAATCAATCGTTAAGACCCGACCTAGAAGACCAATGTCGAGATATGGGTAAATAATATTATTTATGGGTTTTACTTATTATAAATTAAAAGGCTTATTTATATCAACTACAATCTAAACGAATTTTTTAGTATAAAATTGTGATTAATTAAAAAAAATAGTACTTAACATTGAATCATATTGTTAACCTTTTCTTTTTAAAGAGAAAACAAAAGTTGGTCAAAATATTGCTACTATAACGGGCTTATCTCCGGGCGTGAACGTGAAAAGTTTCGTTGAAATATGGTTTATGCTTTCTATGGACTATGTTGGAAGCGTAACTTATTACAACCAGTGAGTATTCGTCAAAATAAATTAGAAAAATATTTTTATTTCATATAGCATACATAGCTGTTAAGTTTTAGTTCTCATTATCTACTCTTGCTTTTACAAATTAAGAAAACAGACGAGGCTTTCTAACGTAAACCAAACAACCAAATAAGATGCATATTGTTTTAGATCAACTGGACGTAATCATTCCATAAAGGTTTATTTAATAAGCTATGCATAATGCATTGAACTGTTGAGGTCGTAAAATTCAAAGGGAAACTAATATTATTAGTAACTTTAGTGGTAGGCTTGCTTTTGGCAAGAATCCACACCATAGACCTCATATATCCAGGAGGAAAACAATATTTATACCCGATATGCCTTCATTGACTATTTTAAGTATAGTAAAAGAGCTCGAAAGGATTCAATAGTTCAGTCTACGTAAACTCTCTAGCCACGCCATTCTGAAAGCCATTCTGAAATTCTACTTGTCAAACCACCGCCAGTGGAATTAGATTATTCAACAAGAAAGCTGAAACTTTGCTCTTAACTCTGATTAACTTATTTCACGTAGAAAGACATTCATTTTGACTTACGTATATTTTAATTTTGGCTTTTATCACTTTTACAACTTTATTTGCAATATCTAATAAGAACTTTAAACTTTATACAGAAGGTAATAATACTTTCTTAGATTTACGCGAATATTTGACATTTTAAATAAAGCTATCTTTTTGTTTTTTTCGCGGATTTATTTTCATTTTTGATTCCCGACGTTTCGAATGCTTCACAGCAATCATTGTCTCTTTCGTAAATCCAATCCGCGAAAAAATCCGAATAGATAGTTTAATTAGAAGGTAATAAATAACTAACACTTGAAAGTTATAGATTAATGTGTCTAAAATAGTGTTTTTTTTTTGTTTCTTTGTTTTGTTTTGTTTCTTTGTTTTTTTTTTGTTTTTTTTTTGGTTCTGTGAGACTCCTACTCACTAAAACCCACAGCGGAACCCATCGCCGCAGTGCAATGGGGAGTTGCAGGATCGCTTGCGCACACACTACAACACCCCTGCGGACGGCCCGTACCTCGCGAGCTAACCTCGCCTAAATCAGAATGCCCTCGATTCACAGAGCATCCCGACCGCTCCGATGACGTGCAGGGGAGTCCACGAGAGGCACCCCCCCCCCCCCCCGCAGTAGCTCCTTTAGGGTGGCGGGAGAAGATGCGCATATCAGCGCCTCCTCCCCCTGGCCGACGGCAACGAAGAGGGTCTGCTAAGGCGCTAGCCTCGCGTTCCCTCTCCGCCGTCTCCTTCAGTGAGATGACGGTCTCGCTGAAGGAGACCATCGCCGACCAGGAGTCTTAAATAGTACATAACATTATTTATTGTTAAAAAATACACACATTTACCAATTATTTGTGGAAACTTAATTGGTAAATGTGTGTATTTTTTATGTTAAGTTAATACTGTTTTTCCCCTAAAATAAATAAAAATAAAAATATATTGGTATTTTAGATCTCGTGATTATAGAACTAAGTACTTTACACAATTAATCTGGGCTGACACAGATAAAGTTGGATGTGGCAAAGCGAGATTCTTTGTAAGTAATTTAAAATGTTTATATTTACTGCTATACTAGTTTCTGAAATTTTATGTCGTGAATTATAGATTCTTAAACATCCACGCCACCTCTTGGACCAGCTACGAATGCATGCAGACCAGCGAGCTCAACTTGTATATACAAATATTTTAGAAAGATTACAATCAAATAATATAAAATGTAACAAAACCCTTTTGAAATAATTGGAAGTTGATAATAAAAACAATATTAGGACATTGTCTATAATAAATAAAATTTTAGGTAAAACATATGAAACTTACACTCGTAGAGCGCCTCGTTTGCAACTTTGCACCACGAGGCAACGTACACGGCAAGCCTATCTATACCATTGGCTATCCCGCCACACAGTGTGATGATAACATGATACCTGACAAAATATTTCCTGGGCTATGCAGATATGATACTAAAGCAGGTAATCTACTTAATACGATATTAATTATATTTTGTTTAGAAATTTTTAATTAGAAATTTCAAATTATGTTTCTAATTAACTGCCTTGTGGCTAGCATGTCATGGTTTGACAAAAATTTACTACTACTTTTACTGAGATTTTCTGTGAAGAAAATCTCAGTAAAAGTCCGGATCTCTGTGGTGTTTCACGCAATCGGTCATTATGATACTAGCATTGGAGATGTACCTACTTATGCGTATTTTTTATCATTTAATTTATCATATTAAGAACCTTATCGAATATTACAGCATATTTACTAAAATGAATTAACTCATTATATACGTAGTTTTTTTTCATATAGTCAATAAGAAAAGTAGGAATTAATTCAATTTATTTATTTTTAGCTAGATTGTCTTCTGTGAACACAGTTGCTACTAGTTTGCTTAGAATTCGCAATCTATTTAATGATTTGACGGAACAGGAAATTGATCCTGTTCGTAGTGACTTAAAACAAACTACGAATTCATCAAAAATTACTAGCTCTAACCAAAAAAAATACGATGTTCTACAAGGATCTAACGGTAAAATAAATTTTATAGTCGGTAAAATAAGGATTATTACTATACCATTTTTTACCGACTAAATTACTTATTTTTTTTTAGATTTCATCAAACGCAGTTATCCTTTAGAAAATGATAATTTCTGGACTGGTCATAAAAATAATTCAAGGCCACTAAGCGATTATTTACGTCAACAAGAAAAAGGGCATTCAAAATTATATCACGGTCATGATCATAAAGATGAATTCGATTATTTACATCCAACGACAACATTTCAAGATTCAGGAAAATATGATTTTACAACTTCTTTGAAACATCAGCATGAAATAAATTATAGGAAACATAATATCAAAGATCAATGTACACGCAAAACTAATTCGCAGATAAACAATGATGCTATATCTATGTGTGACTGTAGACAAAAAACTTTTAAATGTACACGAGGCCAAAAGGCAAACTGTCAAACATTTACACAAAAATATACGACATGTTCAGAAAGCACAACACATCCAAATTTAAATAATGAATGTGCTTGTGGAGCAACACAAACAAGCTGCCACAATATCAATCACTATGCACAAAACAGAAACTATGATTGTGATGTAAAGTGTTCTGCACAACGTTCTGCTGGCTTGCTTAAATCTTTAGAAAACCCAGATACTGATAGCTCCGAAACATATAATAAGTTTCTTCATTATGATCTTCATAAGGAGGAAACACAAATAGAAAAACTGATAACACCCTATGGTTATGATGATGTTACAGCTAGGGAACTTATACGGCGTCTTAATAAGCGCAAAAATATGAAATCTGATTATAGGCAGGTAATTATTAACTTATACTTAATTTTCGTTTTAATATGTTTAAATATTAAAAAATCTCTATTATTTTAGTGAAATAAAAGGACATTTTGCAGAAGATGATATTAATTTAAAACCGTTTTGGGAATTAGACGATTTTAAAAACAAAAAACAACTACCACTAAAATCTCTTTTTTATACAACACTATCAAATAAGAAAATGTCACGGTCGAAACGAACCAAGAGTACTTTAAGAACATTTACATCAACTGAACCTATAACCATAAAAAATATCGATAGACAAGACAAAACCAAACATATTACTGAAAAATATTTATCGTTTGAAGAATTAATGCATTTACGAAAAAAGAACTCAAGTAGTTATAACATTCGAAGATTTAACGATGAGATACCTAATGAGAAAGAAGACAAGGCAATACTAAGGGATGCGGCGACAACAACCGTACAAAGTACCTCAGAGTATACTGCAAATACACCATATATTCGGTTGAAATACTGTACACGCAAGTTGACTTGCACGTGGACTGCAGCTTCGTTAACAGACAGTGAAGGTAGCATTATTCCTGGTGGGCCAGGAGGTAATGTTGGGACCCGAACACCCCCAGGCTATGTTGAAGGTTGTACGCGAACTTCCACCTGCACACGAGATTTTATGGATAGAAATAAAATGGCTACATTGCCTATAGAAACAACTAGTCCCGAAATAAACACCGATGATGAAGACTATTGCGAACGTCGGTCTTTAAATAAGCGAAATTCAAATGTAATTGAGTTATTTCAAGAATATGAAAATAAATTTCGAGTTATAAATAATAAACTCAATTTAAGTGTTTTCAAAGAACTGCCACAAACGAAGTCTATTAATGAATGTAACTGTTCTGAAGATATTGTTAGAAATAAAAGGCATCATATGAATCATAGTAATATCATAAATTTATTTAATTATAGAAATGTCAAACGAGAAAATATAAGAGAACTGTTTAATAACGAAAACAATGTAATGTCCTATGGTGATCTTTTTTATCTTGTTTTGAACAAAATTCTTGAAACATGGAAAAGTAAATCCATATCACATTCTCGTAAAAAATGTTCTTGTAATAATGACGATAAATTAACACTTTCTTATTTATTATTATTTATTACAGTCTTAGCAACAACTTAATAAAAGCGATTATTATAATAACGTACCTTATTAAAATATAAAGAGTTTTATTGTTTTAAAGGTCAACCATATATTTTCAACAAGTTTGACAATATAATAAATTATTCATTGTAAGATAACAAGTTGCAATAATAACAACAGACAAATAGAAGTTGGACGGAAATTTTGTACAATATTATAAGTACAGTGGAATCTCTCATTTAATTTTAATATCCTTAAATCTTCCGCTAGACGTTTCAATAAGTCGCTATAGTTTATAAATACATCTTTTTTGCATCTTGAATTTCTTTTCATTAAATGAACGTTTCTTTGATCAATTGAACGTTTCTTTAGTTTTGATGAATTAATAGTTTTATTTACTTTTATTTTCCCTAAAATAATGCGATAAAATCATTTTCACTAATAAATTGATACAATCGATTTCAATACTTAGAATTCGCCCGTACCGTTGTTATTATTGTAAGCTGGTAAAGCATGTTCTGTTATGCCTTCTGCATCAAGGTCAGATTCAAGAATAGCATCGATGAAATCCTTCGTCACTCTACTTCTTTTTATGTCTTCAATTTCTAAAACAATTTCAGATCCGGGGATTGTTTCTGCATCATCATATAATACAGTTGTTTCTTGTTCTGATTGCTCTTCATCCTCTGGGAAAAAGTAATGCCCCGTAAACTCCATATTCGGTTTTATGTCAGCAAATTCTGCTTGTATCTTTACAGGAGCGACAACAACCCTAATATCGGTATGAATTTTACTATATTCAGTGCTGGAATATTTATCTGCAATATTAAACTAATATGATGTATTTTGCACTTCCCATTAAAAAACTACTGCTCTTATTTTAAAATTAGAACGTTAATAAACGATACGAAAAAGAATATTAAAAAAGGTACTAAACTTAAAATATCTATTTAATATTATAAAATATTTATACCACTATGTCTAAATATTACAGCCTCCACCAAATCAGCGAGAAATGTTGAATTAATTATGTTACTTTCTGTTGACGTAGTTGTCATTGCTGTTTTCTTTTTAGTATAAAGTCGGTCTATAAGGGCAGCTACTGTCTTATCAAAGGCGATCGATTCTGTGATAGGCGATTTGGTTGTAGACAATAATAATTCCTTTAATATTTGATCATTGCTTAGTCTACTTTTAAGTAGTTCCAAAAATTCATCAATAGCCAACACTTCCTTACATTTCGTTGTACTCTCTGTTTCTATGAAAGATTTTTTTGTAATATCAAACAAATGTGACATAAAATCAAATTGAGTATCGTTATCTGCAATGAACTCAGATTCCTTTGGGTTTTGTAGTACGTCCTTTTCTAATAAACTCGCATTTTTTGTTTCTGTAGTGGTCTCACTGATACTATCAATAAAACTATAAGATCTTTCCGAATCATCTTTAAATTCAATTATAGACTTTATTGGTTTTTTCGTAGCTGGAAAATATTAACATATTACAGTACAACGATTAAATAATAATACTAAAATTTCTTCAATTATTAATAGGTACATATATAACGCACAGCCTCAGAGCCTAGAAACAAAATTCTGCACTTTTGTTGATTTCTAAATCAACTTGAAAAGGAAACACAAAGTTTCATTCATTTTTTAAATGCAGTGCGCTCTTGTTTTAAATATTTTATTTATAATTTGACATATTACTATTAATTACTAAAAATATTTAAAATTCAAAAGAACATTTTGAGCTATGTTATCTTTGATCATAGAGTTGATTTCAATTTTTATTGAAAATGATCAGTAATTTTTGTTTGTAAATCTATACCAATTAAAATATAAAAGGTAAATTTTGTGATTTTGTGAGATTGTGAGTTTGTGACGTTGTAGGGAGTAAGCTTCATTCATTTTTTAAATGCAGTACGCTCTTGTTTTAAATATTTTATTTATAATTTGACATATTACTATTAATTACTAAAAATATTTAAAATTCAAAAGAACATTTTGAGCTATGTTATCTTTGATCATAGAGTTGATTTCAATTTTTATTGAAAATGATCACTAATTTTTGTTTGTAAATCTATACCAATTAAAATATAAAAGGTAAATTTTGTGATTTTGTGAGATTGTGAGTTTGTGACGTTGTAGGGAGTAAGCTTCATTCATTTTTTAAATGCAGTACGCTCTTGTTTTAAATATTTTATTTATAATTTGACATATTACTATTAATTACTAAAAATATTTAAAATTCAAAAGAACATTTTGAGCTATGTTATCTTTGATCATAGAGTTGATTTCAATTTTTATTGAAAATGATCACTAATTTTTGTTTGTAAATCTATACCAATTAAAATATAAAAGGTAAATTTTGTGATTTTGTGAGATTGTGAGTTTGTGACGTTGTAGGGAGTAATCTCTGGATCTACTGAACCGATTTAGATGAAATTTACTAAGAAAATAGTTTGAAACCCTGAGTAGGACATAGGATACTTTTTTCCCGGTAATAATCCCTTAAGGGGATAAAAACGGGGATGAAAGTTTGTATTGGGAAGGAAGCTAGGGACGAGCCCGAGTGAAGCGAGGGGGAGTCGCTAGTAAGCAATAATGCGAAAATTATCTTATAATCTTTGTACACTTAATATAAACATGTAACTAGCATGTACGGCTGCACACCTGGAGGTCCTGGGTTCGAGTCCCGGGTCGGGTCTGTATAGAAAGACTCAGTAATAGCCCGGAAAAAAAATAACATATCAACTTTAATTTTTAATATTACCACATAAAAAATGATATTCTGTATCACAATTGCTTCCTAAAGAGCATCGGGAACACGGAATTCCGTTATTATATACGGACAGCCCGACTCGGTTACCACTTGGGGCAAAATTGCATACTAATCTATACACAGTTCTGCTTCCATCTAAGCTAGAATCAATGTTTAATTCCTAAAATTTTTATATGTAAATTATTATAGGCTCGTCTAGGAAATGCCAAAATGTATGTTATTACAATCTCACAACCTTGTACTTAACACCACCACAACCAACTTCCGTAGAATCTGCCCATGCAAGTTGTGTAAAATAATCATAGCGTTGTATCTCTAATTCAAAAGATCTGTAATTTCGATTATATTTTTATTAAAATATCTACGAATTTTAACATCTAATAATCCTCCTAACCTATATCTATAGGTCGCCATCGACAGCTTAACATGCTTCTTAAGACACGGGGTATAAATAAAGTATTTTGTGATATATTTACACAAATCTACGACCATCGGTATGCAGACAGTGTCCTCTAGGACAATGGTTCTCTGTGCTCAATAAATTCTATTATAGATTTCCATATATAGTAACACTATTGAATCTTTAAAAAAATAAAGATAGAACTGTAAAAGATAATAGAGCTAAACTGGTACTCACGACATGTAGTGTTGTAAAATTGATGCATTAATGTTAAGAAGTTCCATATACCATAAATCTACTAAAGATGAAGCAGTCAATCCTGGAGACTCGCCGTATATTGTCGCTATGTTCTGACCCACCGAAGTACTTTCTAGCGAAACATTATGAAGATATATGTATATTACACAATTGTCGCATATTTTATCAATCACTGAAGCTATAGGGATATTGTCTGAGAGAGAGAGAGTATACGTAGTTTGAGACCATGACTTTTATTATTTATCTAGAAAAGAGAGCCTACCCTCAAGTTATTGCGAGTCAATTTACGGCCAAAAGAAAAGCCCTCAAAAAATAATCGTCATAAACAAAGCAACTGGCTTAATACATACATATTTCAAATTTCAAGGTGCCGCTTACAAAACTTTAATAACTTAAGCATCGTGCGGCTTCGCATGCACCAGTATTGTTTTAATTTACACAGTATCTTTCATGCTATATCTTTTGATCTACTTAGCCAATTGCAATATAACCAAACAATGTGTTATATCAAAAAGTAAGTTATAAGTGTGTTAAACCTTTTGATATTTAGGTACTCCAGCGATTCTCGGGTGGAGAGTCGTGCATACAATTATACAATTATAAAACCTACTAGATAATTGTATTTCTGCTTCCGCTACATCCCGAATATTCCCGTGGCGTAGAAGTTAGAACACATTAATATTTTATAATATGTGTTTAATACAAGTAAGTCCAAAAGTAGCTACAAAATTATATTTGACTTTTCAAAAAAAATGTAGATGTTAAAAATATATATAACGTATCCCAATCTAGCTATAATTGATGATTGTCGTTGCGTTATTTGACCTATGCCTATTAGAAACATTGTTGCAAGTATTTATATATATATTTACATACATATTATTATACATATAGAAATATTTAATAATAACGAATGAGCTGATTAGCCTTGAGCTTCAGGTATATTGCAAATTACTAATATTTGAACAGTAAAATAAAATGTAGAGATTATGTACAGTATATAGTAAGATACGGATTCTTAAACTTAATATTGCGAACGTTAAAATTTTTAGTAAAGAATATGTAAGATAATAATATTAATTACCCAAATCTCTGCAAGAATCTGTTTCATTATAAGAACTACTTTTGACACACTGGTCGGCCCATCTTTGAGCAAAAAGTTCCAACTCGTCATTCCATATCTAGAAAATAATATGAATGTTCATAAATTTCTATACCTCTTAATACATAGAGCAAAAAGGGTACATCATGGGAAATCCATGTAACATCTGGAGAATAATATTCCTCCAATCGCGCGAGTTGTTCCACATTACAATTTAATATTGATTATTGAGTGATGTGGATCAAGTGTATGGGTGTGTGGGTATACCAAATACATATCTATAAAATGGTTTTTAAATAAATTAATTTGTTCGGAGTTTTTCGCCGATTTATTTTGATTTTTAGTTCCCGACGTTTAGAAAGTATTATTTTTAAAATGATATTATAAGTAAGAAACATCATCAAAAGTAAGTAAAGATTTTCCCCAAATATATTACGATATATTAACGTAAGTATTTGGCAAGTATTATTTTGTTGACTGATAGTCAGGCACTATATATTTCCTTCTTCAAAAAGTGAGAATATTGGAATTTATTTGATGATATTGAAACATCTTTGAACGAATGCTACGCTCGTTGGTTGATAGCATAACCTTGTCGTGTTAATTTAATATGTACACTTATGCCGCTTTAACTGCTTTTTAAGACTCTGTAGTATTCCGTTCCAGAATCCAAATATACAAAGGAAATGCCTCGAAAATACCAGAGAAAAGCTCCAGATATGTACGGATAATCAGCCTGGAAGCTGTCAAGTTCTTAATATCCAAAGTTATCAAGTTGGATTACAAGAAAGCACTTTACATAAACGTTTTATTTTTTTTCGTTTTATTTTCATTCATTTTAAGGTGTTTCTTTTGAAGTTTCAATTCTTAAATACGCAGACTTCACCCTCATAATAATTCTAATCGCTCTCTAATGTAGGCGGTAAGTAAAGATTTATGTAAACTTTTTTGTGATTTATATAAGTTTATCTACAAATTACGTATCTACGTCTTAATTTATTTTTTACATAAATCACAATATAATTATAACAGCCTGTTTCGACTTCGCCCAGTCGTATGAGAAGTAGCGAGAGTTAGTTGAATTAAGGAAAAGTGGAAATAGTTTGTGTTTAATTAATTTAGCCAATTAATCTGGTCAGAAAAATATTTTCCATGCACACTAAAACCTCTTATATTTTGATAACTCCTTTTTTAACGATTACCTATTGACAAAGGAATCTATCAAAGTTTTCGCACTCCGTGGCTCTATAGTCTAAAACTTATTATATTTTAAATTTATCATACCAACTTCATCATATTTTCTGCTGAAGGCAGAGAACGAATTTCGCCCGATGCAATCTTGCTTCTTCTGCTGTTTAACTTATCCAAAACATCTTGCTTTTCTTTAACTGTCGTTATTAAGCTTTCGTAATCTCCACAATTATTTGATGGACCTGGCAACTAATAGTATAATAATTCAACATGAAAATAGATTGTAAATTATTGTCTGAGAAATTAAAAATAAAATCATCATTAAAAATTTATGAATCATACATTCTACTAAATGATTCAGTCCAAGTATTGACTCGGCAGTATTCCTGTGTCTATTAAACATTTTGTATAGTTAACTAGAACAAACCTTAAATTTACATAAAATGTGAGTTTTTGAATTATTGCATAATTCAGGTTTACAGTAATCTTTACAATAAATATAATTCGAAAATAAAATTGACATCGCTAGAATAAACATTATAGCAGCATTATTTATTATAAACATTTTAAGTATGTGTAGTAAAGCTATAGAGGTAGGCTAACAAAAATATGCAAATGACAAAATCACATTTCTAGATGGCTTACATAAATAAAAATATTCTTAGGATATAGATACATTTTTTTTTTAACGTTGGGAAATGCATTTACGCACGAGGTGTGGGACTCACCGGCAAAGCCAGTACTCCCCACTAAAACCCAACAAAGCCTTCCCCCGTCTTAATGGGGCGTCGCAGGATCGCTTAGGCATTCAACTACGACGCCCCGACGGCAGGTCTGCCGAAGCAGACCACAACAACCATGGGGTTGCTCCACGGTCCACTCTGCTATCAGAGAAGTACCAGGAGCAACCCGCATGGTACACCGCCCTCCGAAGAGGGCCACCTCCCACCGCCCACCGAAGTGGGCCACCTCCCTGTGCGTTTCTTGGCTTCGCGCCCGGTTGGGTTGCCGGGCACTACTGAGCCCCCCCACCACGACAAGGTGAACGCACGTTGGGGGGGAGGATATAGATACATGCTATCTGTACAAAAATAGTTAAATCTGTTCTGTACTTTCTTTGTGAAAAGCAGATAGACAAAAATTTCAATAATAATGGTTTTGTTACAAATGCAGACTCATTTTTATGTAGAGGATTATCGATTCCAATATCGATTATTTTAAAATTACGGTTAATAAATCGTGCAATTACATTCCTTTGACATCTGTCAAAATATATTTACAAATTACAATGTTATTTGATATTTGATATACCCTAACCTGATAAAGAGTAACCTCTATTTATACTGAATTCTTGTCATCTTGTTAGTGTTTTTTTAATTAACTGTAAGGTACTTTAACAATTACAAATATAATTGTTTGGTCCCTTTAAAATAAAATTATTAAAATGAGCCGCCACTTAAAAGCTTTGATCGGTCCTAGCATTCTTAATGCAGACTTATCAATATTGTATGAAGAATCACAAAAATTACTAAATAATGGCGCTGATTACTTACACTTAGATGTAATGGACGGTCAATTTGTCCCCAATCTAACATTTGGTCACCCAGTAGTAAAATGTTTGCGTGGAAAAATTAAAGATGCTTTCTTTGAAACCCATATGATGGTATCAAATCCAGAACAGGTAAATAATAATATTTAAAGTTTCAAATTATTTAACATGAATTGATATTTAAACTACTTTAATAATTTCAGTGGATTATTCCCATGGCTGATGCTGGTGTAAATCAATATACATTTCATATAGAGCCAGTAAACAATGTAGAAAATGTGTGCAGAAAAATAAAAGAAAATGGAATGAAGGTAAAATATACACAATTAGTTATTCTCAAAATTTTCAATGCATATTAAATGAAGAAAACTTTATATTAATCAAATAATGTATTTTAAGAATGATGTAATTGAAATCTAAACTTAAACAGGTAGGTTTGGCAATTAAACCAGGAACACCAGTAGCAGAGGTAGAGAAATATATATCTATATCAGATATGGTATTGATAATGACTGTAGAGCCTGGATTTGGTGGACAAAAATTCATGGAAGATCAAATGAAAAAAGTTACATATTTAAGAGAACACTATCCCTTACTAGATATTGAGGTTGATGGTGGAGTGGGACCTTCAACTATAAATTGTTGTGCTAATGTAAGTTACTTTTAATTATGGTACGGACTACTTGTTGAATCACTATTTGTAAAACAGTCTTTAAAGTCCCACATGCATGTATATTTTACTTTTTACTAACATGAACCTTGCTTTTCATAATAGTAGCCTATTCTTACATTTTCTTAAGTAATTTGTCAGAAACAATAATTGTTAGGTCACTAAACAAAAAAGTTTGTCTGTGATACAAATTCAAATAGACAAAAATCTTCAAAACTATTATGTTTTAATTAAAACTCAAATATCCTCCTAAGTTTCTTTTTAAGAATTACCATTGAATAACTGACACTGCCAAATTTTAATAACATACATACAAATATAATATGTATAGACTATACACAATATAAATTTTTGCAATAATTTTTTTTACTTTATTCCATCCAGGCTGGAGCTAATATGATAGTATCTGGAACTGCTATAATTGGAGCACAAGATCAAGCTGCTACAATAAAATTACTGCGAGATACAGTGCAACAAGCCATTGATAAATAATTTTTTTTAATGTTACTGTTGATTATTAAATATTTTTGTACATGAATAATTATTATTATTATATGATGATACGATATATTGGTACAAAACTATTAAATTATAATATTATAATAGGTATATATATATATAAAATCGTTGTCACATAAAGTACTAACAAATGCATACATTCCTATGGATGTAATAAGTGTTTATAATATAAAAATATAGAACTTTTACAAAAAAATATAGAAAGAAAAAGTTTTATAGAATTTTTACAATATAAAAGATTGGTGATTGTTTTACATGTTTTAATCAAATCTGCTTAAATCTAAATTATTATCATTATTGGTTGTGTTAGATTGTTTTGGGAATGATGAGCTTACTGCTATTCCACTCTCTTTGAAAACCATTGGTTCATTGTTTGCTTTTAATTTTGTTCTTAAACTTGACATTGCTATGAGGATAGCCTCCTCTGTTCTTATAGTCCTTGATCCTTGATTGGGTAAAACATTTACATAATGGTTAAAGAGCAAGCTAGCTTCATCAACTTGCAAATGTTCATCACTCTCAAGAGCTGCTTCTATTCCATGTAAACCTCCGAAGACAATTAAAGCATGATTGTATTTAACATTTTTTTCTGGAAGTTCATCTATTGGAGTACCTTTATCAGATGTACCTATAGTTACATCATACCTGTAATAGAGAACTAAATTATTTTAAATATTAAGATAGGCCTTGGCCATATATGCATAAGGGGAGACAATAATAAAAGTTAAGAAACTCGAAGACTGCTGAAACAAACTGGCAGATCTAGAGTTAAATTTTAGGGGGGTCAGAGGCTGAAATATACATATAATAAAACAGTAACTAAACCAAAATCTGTACATGATTTTTTTTTAAAAACAACAACTTTAAAAAAAAATCAAAACAATTTTTTGGCTAAAGCCAAAAAAAAATTTATAAAAATTTATCTAAAGGTATGCTGTGACATTCTATTGAAAAATATTCTTTACAAAAGTTGTAGGTATAGTAAAAATCAAAGTTTTCTACATTATCAAAAAATCTCTCTGGATCCATGCTTGGATACAAAGTAGCTCATTAGTCAAGGGTTTTAAACAACTTTTTGATGTATTAGATTTTTTTAAATGCAGAACTATCTTGACTATTCTTTCAAGTAGGTTACAATAACATCCTCATAATTTTGAATATGTACAATGTCCTTATACCATCTCCAAATACAACAATGTAGAACACCTAGAGAACTTTTGTCAACATAACCAAGGAAAACAAAGATGCAATATGTTTAGACAAGCATGTTTTCAAAAAATTGCTCAAAAAGTAATATGCTACCTGACTGAAAAAGATTATAATTTTTGCATACCCATCTTTATAAGGACACTGAGTAAAGACTTGGCTCAGATTATTGGCAATCCGGACAGTATAGCCCCAATATACTCCTGTTTCTGCTCTTGGTGTTGATAGACTCACAATCTTTCCTTTTATCTTCTTACGACCTTCTGAAACTGGCAACATTTTAACTGTTACCCTTATGCCAGGATTCAATAATTTATCCGTTGATACATCTTGTAACAATCCAACATTGACTTGTGAACCTCTTCCAGGTTTTACTTTCTTGTTCATTGTAATACCTTCCCTAAAAAATATAAATGAATATATATTTACAAAAGGGTACTTTCTACTCAAGTCAAAATTCAATATATATTACACTGTAAATTAAAAAAAAATGCTATACCGAAATTTAAAGTCATTGCTCATTCTCAAATGATGAGGAGCGTCTAATGGATTTAAAAGGCCAGCAAACTCCAAGTCCTTGTGGATTGGGAAGAAATGTTTCCTCAAATATTGGGGACATTCCAGATATTGCAATATTCTAGCAAGCTGAACACAACTTTTTCGAGCCACTTTTACACCATCTGCATCTTCAAGCTTAGACATTTTAGTATTTAGTTTTTCACCAATATCATCAAAAACTATAATTTCGTCCACACAAAAGACACATGCTGCCCGTGCTATCTGACCGGCCAAGTATGTTCGTAATTCCGCCGATTGGGCATTTTCAAGTATTGACCCTGGCACAGCGATGCTAACTGTAGATATTTCAGCATTCTTTTTGTCTTTTTCTATTTCTTCTTTTACTTTTAACTCTTCTTCTTTTTCAACAGCAAGACGCTTTTCTCTCTTTACAATTTTTTCCTCATTTCGCTGACGTTTTAAAGCTTTCCGTTCTTGATTAATTTCTCGCCAACTCTTACCTGGGGGTTTTATTGAAGCTGTCGGTAAAGACATTTGTTTTTAAAAAAATGTGAAGAAAACCATAAAAGCAATAACCAACACTTAGCAACACATGAAAAGTAAAATAAAAATTCTATCATTAAATGTTGTAAAATAAAAATGACAAGTTACTGACAAATGACAAAGATAGTTGACACCTAGAGATGTAGTTATTGGATTAGATGTTATTCTCGAATCAAGTAAATATAACAACAATATCGATACTAAGAATTATATTATTTTTAATATAGATAAGCCGTAAACGTAATTAGCGGAAGAATTGCCTGAGTCTTTCAATTATTATTGAAAATACTAAAATATAATGTTTACATCTTAAACACAATAATGATTGATTTTTCGCTTTCGTTTATAATATTGTCCAAATTCTAGACATATAACACTATATGGTATACATTATTCAACAGTTAACTGTGCTGCTTTTTTGTAACTGATTTGATAAGTTACAAAAAGGGAAAAAGCAAAATTTACGAAATTTATGCAATTTTAGCGTGTTTGTAGCGCACAACACTATCAATGTCAAGCTTAGAACATGTGGTCATCAACATTCAACAATCAACATCAATCAAATCTCATCATTTGAAATTTATAGACCTTAACATTTACAATTTGGATTTTAACACTGAAATTCAAACCGATTGTTTTTTTTTTCTATTATGTAAGTAAGACTCGATTGCTATCATAATGAAATTTGAAATTGTTATAGACTAGTATAAATATTATATTTCATTCATCTACATCTAGTAAGTAGTATTAGATGAAAGATACACGATATTATAATTTTAAAGATTACTTATGTTTATTTAAATTTACTTTATTCATGCATCAAATTGGTAGCTGGAAGTTGGAACATTTTTTGCCACAAGAATACATAATATTAATACCTATGTAAAATAATTATACTTTATTTTCGCATTTCTACGGTCTACCTTTGACACAGGCATTTTTAGTCACACATGCCCCAATAATTATGTGTTTTATTATTACATGTGAATTATGTGATAAAATTAATAAAGTTTTCTATTTTGCATAATTGCTTAGAGACAAACAAATAGACAATTAATAAGTACAAATATGTTTATTTAGAACTATACTGTAAAAAAAAAATATTGACTATAAATTATAATATTAGCAAACCTAAACAATTTGTAACAGTTTCAAGACTAAATAATAAAAATATACCTAAATAAAACCTTTAATAATAGATTTTAAAAGATTAATTTTATATGCTGTAATATCCATAAAGATGTAACTAAAGGAATACCAATATTGATTAGCACTTATATATCCTATGAACTAAATTTTTTTCTAAATTCTAATTTAGAAGAAAGTGTAAACATTTTCTTTTTAAAATTAAAACTAAAGAAAAAATTAAGTATGGTCACAGATCATAAAATACTAGGTATGGTTAACATTTATTACCTACAAGAATAATATGTTGTAAAACACTTCCATTAAATACTTAATGTATATTTTTAAGTCCTTTTCTTCTTTGTTTCAATTTTTTATAATTCTTACAAAAATAGTTTTAACTTGTTTATTGTTACTTGATAATGTTATTTATATTCTCTCAAGATAATTACATCATTCGCTTTCATCATATTGTTTCAACTTTGATGGTAACAACCAGGGCTGTCCTCACAGACAACTTTGAATAATTTTAATTATTTTTAAATAAGTTATAAGTCTTTATGATATAATAAATTAAGTAACAATTTAATTAAACTATATTAATTAACTATTATGATTATATATTATTATAATCATAATAGATAGTAAATATAGTTATATTTAGACAATATCTATCATTATGTCATGAGTGCAATATGAATGCAAACATACATCAACTTTTATTATATGTCTGTACAAATGGGATATTCTAAATAAAAAATATATATAACATGAGATACATATTGTTTTCCTGTATGTATTGTGTTGTATATGTATATTTTTTATCAACCAAAAGACTCATTTATGTAGTACCATTACTATTATATAGATAATAGATCCAAAATCATCATTTAATTACCAACTATGTGCATATTATATTCTTTATACTAGTATGTACATCCCTGTGCTTATTTACGATATAAGATATTATTTTGACCTTTATTATCAGAACCCCTGTGTAAGGTTAAATTTGATAGTAAATCAAGAGTATTATTTTCACAGTTCAATATTACAAGTGGTCACATTCAGACATGGCAGCCAATGGAAAATTAGGTAAGTAACAAGTTTAATAAAAAAATAATAATCAAATACCAGTACATTGTAAATTGTAATTGATTTTTTTTCCTTTATTGCTTCATATGGAATTATATAGAAAATCACAGGTAATTAATGGAATTGAAAAAAAAAATGTTTGACTTAAATAGTTTGCCTATGCCTATGCCTGCCTTATTTCTTCCCAAAACTTTTTATTGCAAATTTTATAAGTATCAGCGCATCGCTGAGCAATAAATGCCCAAGGCCCAATGCAATACATAAAAAAATGTATTTACTATCAAACACTTTTTTTTGTTTAGATAAAGTACTCATTTAAAAATATTTAAACATCTTTTCAAATGCAATTAATGTAAAAGTAGATCTTTTTTTTTATATAATATTACATAAATTGTTTTACAGCTCTTCTCAGTGTATCGGACAAAACCGATCTTATACAGCTAGCAAAATGTTTATCAGACATTGGTCTTGGTCTGGTGGGTAGTGGGGGCACTGCGTCTGCTCTAAGGAACGCTGGACTTAAAGTCCTAGACGTGTCAGATATAACTGGTGCTCCAGAAATGCTTGGGGGAAGAGTCAAATCCTTACACCCCGCGGTACATGCTGGTATATTATCTAGGTATGAAAAAGTATTATTTGTTGATATATTAAAGATAGTGTGTGATTTTTTTATTTAAAAAAATATGATACAGATAAGTATAATATAGTATATTATCCAAGTATAAAAATGTATGTTGTTTTGTTAAATGTAACATGGTGTTTTTTTATTAAAAAAATGTAAGTAGGATATTTTAAAAAAATATCGCAAATTCTCCTAATAGTTCTAGTACTTTTCCATCTATGAAGGTTATGTAGGAATAACAAAAAAATTAAGCCATTATTACGCTAATTTGTTTGTTTATATTTAATACAAATTGCCCATATGTGCAATTTGTATTAAAAATTAAACTGTATTAAATGTTTAAGCAATTACTGATAACACATCAGAATTTTTCCAGCAAATACTATATATAAAGAAAATACCCTAGTAATAATTTTTTTTAGTTAGGCCAGCTGTTCATTTAATACTCTGAAATCTGAATACAACTGTATTCAGAGTGTTAAATTTCAAATTATCTGACACGACTGCTGCACGACGCGGTGTCTATTTCGTGATTCTGTAAATTACACCTTACCAAATTATAGCAATCACATATTATGTTTATGCAAAATAGGTACATACAAAAACATACGTATTTAATTTTACGTATTAGATATTAAGTTAAAACACTGTAAAATGAAAATACAAATATTACATTTCAGGCTATATTAAAGCTATGGACATTAGTCGCATATATTTATTACAATTAATAAATATATGAATTAATTAGATCATGAGTGGTTTTTAAATTTTACGGTTTTAAAAATCAAACATTTTATCATCTTTAGGCTAACAGAATCGGATCAAGCAGACATGCAGCGTCAGAAGTTCGACATGATCAGTGTTGTTGTATGCAATTTGTATCCGTTTGTGGAAACAGTATCGAAACCAAATGTAACCATAGCCGATGCAGTGGAAAACATCGATATTGGAGGAGTAACTCTTCTTAGAGCAGCTGCCAAAAACCATGATAGAGTCACAGTGATCTGTGATCCCAGTGATTATGACAAAGTTATCGCTGAGTTGAAGGAAAATAAGGATCACCAAACTTCCTTGGAGACCAGGTTTGTGTTTTCTTATGTTAAATTTCATATAAATTATTCAGTTGCTGCTTAATTGTATATAAGTTACATTAAAAGAATTTTAATCTATGGGATTTTTTATCATAGGCTATTGATAAAACCAATAAATTACTTTTCAGACAAAAGCTGGCTTTGAAGGCCTTCACCCATACTTCAGCATATGACACACACATTTCTGATTACTTCCGCAAGCAATACTCCGCTGGTGAATCTCAACTGACCTTGAGATATGGTAGGTTCAAAATTGTCAAACCCTGTGTTCGTATTGCCGCCACATAGGGCTATTTGGAAATCATAAATAATTATTATTAATTGGAACTGTACATGGTATCCTGTTAATATAAAATTCAAATCACAACAAAAACATTAAATTACCCCACTCAGGAATGAACCCGCACCAAAAGCCAGCCCAAGTGTTCACCACCCGCCCCGCGCTCCCGCTGGAGGTGCGGAACGGGTCGCCGGGCTTCATCAACCTGTGCGACGCGCTCAACGCGTGGCAGCTGGTGCGCGAGCTGCGCCGCGCGCTGCGCCTGCCCGCCGCCGCCAGCTTCAAGCACGTGTCGCCCGCCGGTGCGGCCGTCGGCTTGCCGCTCACACAGGAAGAAGTTGGTGTTAACTCATCTCTATTCACGGAACTAACCATACAAAGCGCTTTCTCCGTCCCACATTAGCATACAAACTGATAAGGACAGAAAATTGTCTAGATCCGCCCACTAAGGCTTGCAAACTGGTTTGAAGTCATAGGGCAAAATCAACATATAAATAAAATAAACATGAATAAAATTAAATGTATTTTTAAATATTTATGTACATTATTTAACTATTTTCGCTTTCCGACCTATCACTGTCATCTCCTACATAGATAATAAACCAAGTAACTACACGAGAGACATCTAAACGGTACGGAATGCAACGACGCGGACAGACTAATTATGACTGGCATTGTGATCGCGGCCTAAGCGTCTTTTCTGCAACTAATCACGTGGAAGCGCAAAATCTCAGTGCTTGGTTCATTCGGCGAATACAGTGTAAATTATTAAATTAGCAACATACTCTCGCTTCACTTGGGTGTGTAGACCCTAGGTACGCGGATTTTGTTCACAATTTTATAGGTTTTAATTTTTTTGCGTCGAACCTTATTACTTTTTACAAAATAAAAATAGCCTAAGTTTATCCTTGTAACATCAGCTATCTGCTAATGAAAGTCCCGCCAAAATCGGTCCAGCCGATTCGGAGATTAGCCGGGATAAACAGATAGACAGACAAAAATCTTTAAAAAATGTTTTTTTTTTCTTATAAGTAACATAATATATACTTTCTTATAAAAATAATATATATATAATTTTATTTATTTTATGTGATCAATTTTATTTCGTTAATTTTATTGAATCATTAAGAATAAATCGACTCAAACAACACCATCTATTGATATTTATATGAACTATTTTTCCATAGATCCTGACCCCTAAAAATTTTTAGGGCTTCTCAGTTAAGAACTAATATTTCTTATCTAAGACCTCATGACATAAGTAAAAACATATTAATTTATTTAATACAGGCGTCAGTATGTATGGTAGCGGACTACTACGAGAAACTAACACCTCTAGCGTGTGCGTACGCGCGGGCGCGCGGGGCGGACCGTATGAGCTCGTTCGGGGACTTCATCGCACTCTCCGACGAGTGCGACGAGATCACCGCCAGGATCATCTCTCGGGAGGTGTCCGACGGCATCATAGCTCCGGGGTACTCGCCTGAAGCTCTAGCCATTTTGAAGAAGAAGAAAGCTGGAAATTATTGTGTGTTGCAAGTGAGTATTAATATAATGTTTTATGTATTTTTTTTTTGTAGCTGCTAAGTTTATTCGTCTGGTAATTGTTGCAACCACAGTTATAAGTACTTTTTGAAGTTATACTTCTTTTGGCACGTTTGAAAAATATATGTGAGTAAAATTTTTACCGCACCGACAGCCAAAAAGCGACATGATGAAGTTGCTGCATTTCTTTTATAAACAGAGAGTTGTGACATACGGAATGAAATCTTTAGTTATTTGTGTTCTATTACACCAAAGAAGTATAACTTCTTACGTGCGTACTGCGTACATAAGTAACACACACGTCACACCCGTTTTTTTTTATTTGAAAATTTTAAATATACATGTCCATCGATCTTTTATATATCTTTTTCATAGGTACATACATAATTATACAATACTCATCAAGCAATTTATGAAACTTGATATATCAAATTAAGAATAGTTATACATATGTATAAAAAGCATATTACAGCAAGAAATAATTTTAATCGTAATCCACAATTTTACAGATGGACAGCAGCTATACACCAGATCCGATGGAGCAAAAGACATTATTTGGTTTAACGCTAGAACAGCGCCGCAACGATGCGGTGATCGATGCTGACTTGTTCAAAAATGTCGTCACCAATAAGAAGGAACTACCGCCAAATGCAGTCAGAGATCTGATAGTCGCCACCATCGCTCTCAAGTACACGCAGAGTAACTCTGTGTGCTTTGCGAGGGACGGACAGGTGGGTTCATGTCATGGTTTAACTGTAGAGCGTACTTTCATTGTTATATTATTTACTAGCGACTCACCCTCGGGTTCGTCCTTATGTAATTATCGCGTACGCAATTTATTTGCGAGTACTCCTAAAATATTCATTAAAATTATATGGTGTAAATGAGTCAAATAATGTGCATGAAATGCTTTAAGACTCTTAACTTATTTAAAATGATAAGGGTTAATACCGTATTTGTGTAAATAGCTTTTACATTACCGCATTATTATTGCCAATTTTTTAACGTATTAAAATGGATATAGTATTACATCCTTAAGAGATAGACATAATATGCCGTCGCGGACTTTTCTGTAGACTTATATAAGATACACAATTCTACCATACATTATTTTGTTATATCTCATAGGGTTTAGGCAGCGTTTTCGTTGAAAGCTCCCAGGCGGCTTATTTTTTTCCGACACCTCGAACAAATCTATACTATTATTATAAAGAGGTAAAGTTTGTGAAGTTTTATGGGGGTAATCTCTGGATCTACTGAACCGATTTAGATGAAATTTGCTAAGAAGATAATTTGAAATTCTAGGAAGGACACTTATTATCCCGGAAATCATCCCTTAAAGGGGTGAAAATGGGGATGAAAGTTCGTATTGGGAAGCAATCTAGGGATCAAATCGAGCGAAGCGAGGATGAGTCGCTTGCCTATCAATATCTAGTTACGTTAGTTAGTTAGTATACGTTTTGAATCGTCAATTTTTAAACACACACGCACACACACTCGTATATAAAATATATAACGTATGTGCGTCGCGACGGGGCAGGTGATCGGCATCGGCGCGGGGCAGCAGTCGCGCATCCACTGCACGCGGCTGGCGGGCGCCAAGGCGGCGCTGTGGTGGGCGCGGCGCCACCCGCGCGCGCGGGCGCTGCGGCCGCGCGCCGGCGTGTCGCGCGCCGTCGCCGCCAACGCCATAGACAACTTCGTCAATGGCACCGTCGGTATGTATTCCCTTTCCCATGCCACAGATCACATAATACTATACTAGTATGGATGCCTCGTCCCATACAAATAAATTAGACAGCTCTAATTCGGGCTTGAATAGATAATAGATGTCGTCGATTCGCAAATAGTTGAAATGTTTTATTTGATAAATATGTGTAAACTAACGTTTGATAAATATTGTAGAATAAAAAAAATCTGTGATTTAAAGACTTTTTAACCGTGATAAACAGTTCATACGATTCAATTTAAGTAGTCCCGTTGAGTTTTTTTCGCCAGTTCTTCTCGGGCCTGAGGCTTTTTCTTCCGGAACTGGTAGTAGACTCATGACGTTCAGTAAAAAATTGTAATAATTTAATGCTGAATAAAATATTTTGAATTTTTATTTTGAATTTAAATAAAAAATGAAAGCGCCATCTATGAATATACATAGAAACCTATCTTCTAATTGCTGATATTTTTTTTGTTATTTTAACACAACTTTATTAACAAATCGATACTCATGTAACGTCATCTATTGACATTTATTTAAACTGCTTTTTCTTTGTTCGTGATGAGACCTTATGCCCATACAGATAGAGACGGGAGACCTGTGCGGCAAAGCGAATATATTTAAATTATTAATTATAATTATTAGCGCCAAAAAAGTTATATCAGTCATGAAATGATTAATCATAACCAAATAAATAAAATATTGACTTTCTCTTAACTCATCTTTTAAATCAATAAGATTTATTGAACCATACCGTGTCTGCCATAATTAATCAGGAATGGCTCAATCTTTACAATAATAATGAATACATATTACTGAAAATTGGCGATGAAAAGCTCGCAAACGGTAAAAATTTAGTGCCTTTTGACATTTCTAGAGACCTCATTCTACAATAACGCCCTCAGTGAATTCAAGCGCGGTAGCCCTTATCCAGGGCGGTCAAAAAGTTCAGAGAGAACTATACCTATCAATACAGTCTAAAGAAAGGCATTCCAATCAGGGAACGAACAGAATGAAATAAGTTTCTTGTATTAATCTCAAATTCAACGTAATTATCACTTGCAAATACCACAGTCTACTAATCTGTGCAGTCATGCTGTAAGTTTTTATTTATTTTATAGTAGTTGTTTAAAGAAGATACGTTGAATAGTTTTTATAATATAGGACATTTTCCGTTTCACGCGTTGGCAGTAAAATTAGCTTTGTTTTTCATAGCAATAAAGTCTACTAAGTAATTGTGTGTGGATAACACAGTCGTCTAACAAAGGCGAGTAGACAGAGCAATCGGGCTATTTTTTTATATTGTGCTAATGCGGTAAAAGAAAAAATTGTTATCGAAAGTTGTGTGAAGATTTAAAATCTGATTTTTTATTATTATTTATGCGCCTCAGTAACTTGATTATTTTAATTTCACCGCATGATCTTGCTTTTTCATGAAACATTGCAAGTGCTTAATTATATAATCATTTAAGTAATCACAATTTGTTTGTAGGTACTGACATGCCGTTAGAGCAATGGAACAGCTTGTTCGAAGGAGAACCCCCGGCACTTCTCACTGCCGAAGAGAGAGATGAATGGACCAAAACAATGAATAAAGTAGCTCTCGCCTCAGACGCTTTCTTCCCATTCAGGGATAATATCGATAGAGCTGTTCAGGTAACAACAACTCAACAACCAATACAGTAATTTTCATTTCATTTTTTGACGACACGTTTGGCTGCTAGTAAAGATTTGCTGTGCCAGCGGTCGCGGGTTCGAGTCCCGCTAGGGACATTCATTTGTGTGATAAGCACGAATATTTGTACTCCAGTCATTGGTGTTTATATTTATAATATGTATGTATTTAAAGTTATAATATATGTGTAGTGTATCAACTATTTGGTATCCATAACACAAGCCTCGTAGCTTACCATGGAACTAGATGGTCCCAACGTATTTATTTATTTTGATTGATTGTCTGCTGTTAGTTTTACTTTGTTTTGTTGTCCTTATTAAATTATGACCATTGCCGACCAATGGATGTAATTGGGTCACATTGTCTTCTACAAATGTAATTGGTTCGATTATTAAAAAGACGACAAAAAATAATTTAAATGGCTCTAAATAACGCTATGTTTCTATTATACATTTCAGTATGGTGTGGAGTACATCGGCAGTCCATCGGGCTCCAACAACGATAAAGAAGTGATAGATTCTTGCAATGAACACAACATCATTCTCGCACATACAAACTTGAGGCTGTTCCACCACTGATTTTGTAAAAAATCCATATTAATAAAACTATATCGAATAAAAAGTATAATACGATATTTTGCGAATATTGATAATCTCATTATTGGAGTGAAATGTCAAACAAATCATACTTTTCGAGCATATTGTATTTGTTAAGATTTTGTATCGAATATATTATTTCATAAGAATAAATATTTTAAGTACATATTATTAGAGTTAATATTAAATAGAAGTATTTACATTTTACCTCTATTATATTATACCTATATACATTCATAAAATTATATTCATCAAGATTATTATTAAAAAATACTATGTACTTTTACCATTTTTTTTATTTTCTACTTATACAAGAAATTTGAAACTGAACTATAGAGGTGAACATTAACTTTATGATTTCACTAGCGGCTCACCCTCGCTTCGCTCGGGTCGCCTCAAGAATAGAAAAATATATAAGAAGAAAATTATCCCACGGGAGCTGTATATTTTTCCGGGATAAAAAGTAGCCTTGTGTTATTCCAGAACCAATATAATCTATCTCTGTGCCAAATTTCATCCAGACCTGTACAGCCGTTCTGGCGTGAAAGAGTAACATCCATACTCACAAACCTTAACATTTATAATATTAGTATAGACTAGCATTACCCGCGGCTCCGCCCGCGTTCAGATGACCAAAAAACAAATTCTTAGGTTTTACATATTAGTATTCTCTTACATTGCAGTTTTTTTATTATTTCTCAGAAATGAGGTAATTTCCCAGGGTAAAAAGTATCCTATATGTTGACCTAGATAACCAACTATCCCCATACCAAATTTCATCAAAATCCCTGCAGTGGTTTTTCTGTGATGTGGTAACAGACAGACAGACAAAAATTTTAAAAACTATAGATTTGGCCTCTGTATCAATAATAATGTTTATTTCTCTAAGATTTTCCAAAAAATATTTAATGTACAGATTCGGCTTAGTTACAATTTTATTATATGTATAGATTGGATTAGCTACTTATTCCTCTTCCCAAAATTCTTTTAGTAAATCATCATACACTTCTATTCCATTTTTCCTATAGAAAAGCAGATCCTAACGACAAAAACTACAATCAAATTTATTAGTTTTTGAGATTAGCATGCCCAAAGACAGGACGGACGATCGCCGGGACTTTCGTTTGTGTAAAAATAAACGTATATCTGAACTTCTAATACCTCATAACTAGCATTTTTGCGCATAATTTTATTTTAAAAAGCATTATTTGGCAAAAGCTAAAAAGGGTTACATACTCTATGACAAATGCAATACTAATTGCATTTAATTATGATAACATAAAAGACAAATACATCTTATTTGTTTTACCAAAATTCTCCACGTTTTTTTTTAATTAATAAATTAATTTTATGTTCCTCCAGTAAAATTTGTAAGTAGAAGATCTAAGTTCACGGACGATATGCAGTTTAATAATGAATAAACACAGTTATTCAAATTCAAAATATTTATGCAATAGTATACTACACTTATAGTGTACTTTACTAAACATGAAGTTGTTGAAAATCCGCTCATTTACATGTTTTATCATACGATACTATAATGCTTATACACGCATATAATACTAGCATTGCCCGCGTTCAGATGACCAAAAACCAAATTCTTAAGTACACATTAAATACTCTTATAATGCAGTTTTTGTATTTTTTTCTCAGAAATGAGATATTTTCCCGCGGTAAAAAGTATCCTATACGTTGACCCAGATAACCAGCTATCACATACCAAATTTCATCAAAATCCCTCCAGTAGTTTTTCCGTGATGCGGTAACAGACAGACAGACAAAAATTCTAAAAACTATAGATTCGGCCTCTGTATCGATAATAATGTCTATTACAATAAAATTTTCCAAAAAATATTTAATGTACAGATTCAGCTTAGTTACAATTTTATTATATGTATAGATTTGCTAGTGAGAGGATAACGGGATAAGGAATAAACGAAATCAAAAGTTTGCGAGACGACAGTTTATTATGCAGTCGATTTATCATAAAATTTTAACGATTGTTCACAGAACTACACACCAGGTCCATATTTATTTTTATCGTCAAGATTGACTATGTTTTCCAATAAATTTGCATATTTATGCTACATAAATGTATGTTTATAGGCAAAAAGCTGTCCATTAAATTCTATTACACTCAATTATCTACGAAATCACTATGGAAATCACAGTACCAATAACCTAATCGTTCCTAAACACGATATACCAATAATAGGATATTCAATCCCGTCAGAATAATACATGTGAGAAGTTAAAACAACTAAGTATGAAAGGTACAAATTACAAATATAATGCGTTCAAGTTATGAAGTTAGTTCATCCGTATATTAAATATCGTGCAATACGTTGATATACAATTGGCAAATTATTACCGTTCCTACCATTTAGTAAGTTCGATTAAAAAGCCATCAATATTACTAAACCAAGTCTATTTATTTGCAAAAGCCCAACCAAGTTTCCAGTGAGATGGAAACGCTATTGTATATAAAGATAACTTATGTGATACATTTCGAATAACATTAGTGTATGAAGTCTACTCCTGCGTGAAATGACGTAATCAATATTGGTAATTTGACTTCACTTAGAACTTTTCATACGATGGGAATCATTTTCTATTTTAAAATTACCTAATTAAAATACAACGCTGTTCATTGCAGGAGTCACTTAGTATATGTGGTGTTTACAATACGCGCGATCTTAAGTTAACCGGACTGAAGTTAGTTCCGTATAATTGTCGGGCATATACAAGTAAGCCTCTGACACTTGTAACTATTTAGCCCCAAAAACGATTATTATGCCAACTTCAGATCGGCCAACTAAAACTTGCGGCATGCTATGATCGCCATTTTTTATTTTTTTCCGCTCAAGAACTTTAAAGATTGACAACTATGCTTATAAAACAATTGCTGTAATTTAGTACCAATATTGATGTACACAAAAGATTAAGATGTACAATATAAAATTTTATATATTGTTGATATTGTTAATACATTCCAAATTAAAGCAGTTTCAACTCAATGTCATTTCTGAAAGACCAAATTGTACATATTGCGATATACTTTTTAGTAGACAGATCCAACTCGCACTTGAATGTTCAATAATTTAAAATGTGTCACATCACTACAACATACCAGTGGCGAAGGGTGAAATTTTAGCAGAGGTAAGCCTTTCCAAAAATATACAATTTTTATATACGTACATATTAATACAGAAAGAAATGAAGCTATTATTATACATATATTTCCAAAAGAACATTTATACATTTAAAAAATTAAATGTATGTAAAATTATAGCAAAATAAATTAAAGTAAGACTTGTATGAATCCTTCACCACTGCAACATTCATACATCAAAACCAAAATGACCGTCACAACGCACCGCAGTCAGATCGCTAGTACAGTATACACTATATACGGTGGAGTATTTAGCCGGTGGCGCACTGCACGCGGTTGACACCGGGATGCTCGTCATCCTCGTCGTAGGCGTTGGCAGCGTTGCCACGGCGACGCCGATTCTCCTGCTCCGGGTCCAAGTCCATGAGTGTGCACTCCTCTGCTAGCTCAGGGATCTCCACCTGGGGCGATTATATGTATTAATATATTGTGAACTAGAGACTTGCTTCCCAATACAAACTTTCATGCCCATTTTCACCCCTTAAAGGATGATTTTCGGGATAAAAGTGTCAACAAGGTGGTCGTAAAGTGCCTGGTCACTTACTTTTGATTTTTTTTTCACATGTTGCACCTCTCGGATTGTAATGAAACTTGACATGCTATTAGACAATATATAGACAATTATTATGTATTTTTTTCAAAGTGGTAATTTATTTATATCTGATAGAAAGCGATTGACAAAATTTTTATTCACATTTTTTTAATACTTTTATTTAGGCTTGGCCCATAGTAAACAGCTATAAAATAAACTATAAAGCTTATTATAACACTTACATTTTGTTTTATTACTCTAGCTTTGAAATGAACTAAGATATATTGCTTTGAAAGAATGTCGTCCCCGGACTCTTTTTTTCAAATAGCTCTTCAATTAACTGAGATATAGATCTAATATTTAATGGATCAATTACTATTAGTGTCCTCTACAATATAACATTGGTTACGATATAGGTTCCTATCGGGGGCACTTTCGCTACGGAAGTACGGCTAGACCTTTATTGCTTAAAAAAAATGCGAAAACCCTTGTAAATAATATAAGTTATAGTATACTACGAGCTTACCCTAGGTCTAGGTGGCAGACAGTTCTCCAATGCTGGAATGACTTCAGGTGGAATGCTATTCGGGAAATTGACTAAAAATTGTATTATAAGTAATCCTTTTTCAAATGGATTCTTATACATTGGCATACCTGGAAAAGTAAATAAATAAGATATAGCAAATAATAACTAATACAAAAGCTTATGTAAAATTAAAATATTTTAACACAACATCATTTCCTATATCATAAAAAAGTACCAATATGAAATTTTAATTGAAAACCAATACATATTTCTATTTAATATTCAATTCATTTTTTTTATTAATGGCTTCAAAGCATGCCAGTTGAGCACAGATTTCTTCTTTCTTTCTGTATTCACCTACATCACATAGAATTGAGAAGATCTTTTTAATATTGTATTTAATGTTGGCAACAATTCATAAAACAATAGAAAAATAAAAACCTTTTGTTTTTTACCATTTGTAACATTTACCTTCATTTAGAACACATTTGACTTCACCATGCTTAGTAACCTCTCCGGGTAATACTGTTATGACGATATCTCTGTCGTCCAAAGTTCTAATTACTTTTTGGAAGCCACACAAAGCCTCCACCAGCTCAACATTAATCCTAACTATTAAATCATTGCCAGATCTTTTGAACACCTGAAATAAAACATTTCTCATTGCTATAAAATAAAAATAAAAAATGCTACAATTACATTATAGGATATTCTTTTAAGGTAATTTTTTTATAGTTGCAGCTTCAATAAATTAACTGCTATAATTCTTGGAAATATTGAATATCATTTACTATATTATGTTTATAATATAAATAAACTGTCTTACATAAATTATTAAAGCATTTGTTAAGTATAAAGGAAGAATAGTATTCATTACAGCACATCCTTCATGCACTGCCGAATTTAGGGCAACTCATATTAAATTATGTTGGTGGTTCTTAACAGCACAAAATGTGTACAGTAACAGTTAAATAAACCAAGATCAAAATCTTTATGAATAATGGAAATATTAATATCATTCATTAACAAAATGTGACCTTTGTTAGAACCAACTAGATTGTCATTTACCAAATTATTAATTTACTAGCGACTTATCCTCGCTTTGCTTGTGCATCCCTAGGTATATTTTATTTTTTTTTGAAAAAATAAAAGTAGCCAAGTTACTCCTTATAACATCAGCTAGGTATCTGACAGTGAAAGTCTCATCAAAATCAGTCCAGACGTTTCGGAGAACAAACAAACAGACAGAACTGTAAAAATTGGGTTTTTCTTATGAATATGTTAATAATTTAATATGCATTTAGTAAAAAGCTGTTATTTTAACATTACAAACGGACACTTCAATTTTATTTATCTGTAAACATAATCCTAAAATTCTGATAAAACTCACTTCATTCTCCTTTTCATCTAAAACAATAATAAGATCTCCAGGTTCCATTTCAGGTTCTTGATCTCCTTCACCACTGAATACAATTTTCTGGCCATCTGTCATACCTTTGTCAACATGAACTTCCAGAATCTTCCGGTCACGAACAGTTTTGCGACCCTGAAAATAAAAAAGATCTTATGTATTTTTTTATATTATACCTTTGTAACACTAACAAATTAGATGACCTTCCTTAAACATGACTACTTTGACTTTACAATGTAAAATTTACATCAAATGTATGAATGAATACATTTTTTTAATATATCCTTTCTTAAGTTATAAAATATTTATTGTATAGTAGTAATAATAAAAGTTCTTAGTTCTTACATAATTTAAGTAGGAGAAGTATTAAAGAAATAATAAGTATTATTTACTTACTTGACAAACTTTGCATCTGTCCTTTGGGTCAATGATCTCCCTTTGACCTCGGCACTCTGAACACATGGTCTGGATTTGTTGGATCATGCCTGGTCCCAGCTGTTGGATCTGGACTTGCAACCCTGTACCTCGACAAGTGGGGCAGACTTGGACTGCTCCCTAAAATTAATATATTATTATATAAAATATGTGTTATAAGTAATTTAATAACAATATATGAGTGATAACTAACTATATGTATTGTATGGTATGTTCGGGCTATTTTCTGTAACTCGACAACTATGCGCCTATTTCTAAACAATAAATAATAAAAACTATGTGTAACTAATGATAACAATTATACATGAATGCTAAATGAAAACCACAAAAACTAACCTTCTTACCACCTCGGCCCTCACATTTTTCACATATCACATTCTTCTGCAAGGCAAGTTTTCGGACAGCACCCTTGTATAGTTCTTCAAGAGTAACAGATAATTGGTGAATAACATCTTTGCCTTTTCTTTCACGTCCACGCCGTCTTCCTCCACTGAAGCCTCCACCGAAGAACATGTCAAATAAGTCCATGGGTGAAGAGAAACCACTGCCACCTGCACCACCCTCTTTTAATGCCTGCTCTCCACCTATAAAAAATTAAAACTTAGTTGACTCTTCTACGTAACTACAAAAAAACTATTTAGTTTCTTAAAAAAAATATGGTAATACATAACAGAAAGTTAAACAATAATATAAAAAAAAATCAGTAAAGGAAGATTTTGCTTTAATAATATAAATATAGCAAAATAAATGGGTAATCTATCATTATACAACTAAAAAATGACAAGCCATGTTTAATTATAATACACATAAAGATAATTGCAAAATTGTGCACACAAAGTAATATTTACCTTGATCATAGATTTTTCTTTTATCTGGATTAGAAAGCACTTCATAAGCTTGTGATATTTGCTTAAACCTTTCACCCTCATTGGGATTCTTGTCAGGATGATATTTAAGAGCTAGTTTTCTATATGCCTTCTTTAGCTCATCTGTTGTGCAGTTAGGCTTTACACCTAATATGTCATAATATGTAGTTTCTTTCACCATTTTGCTATCTGAAATAATTTAAATTTATAAAATATGCATAAAACAACACTTAATATGTTGCATTATATAACTTCTCTTTCATTTTCCTTATATTTACTAACATTATTGTTAGGAGCAGTTGCATTAATAAATAATTTATAAAGAGAATTTATAAGTTTATGCTTCTTAAAGATGACAATAAATTGAAGTCAAAAAAATTTAAAAGCAGTAATGTCTATGCCTAGGTACTTTAATATTAATTATTAGATTCACTACATACATAAAAAGGTTGTATAATTTAATAAATCCTAAATAGAATATTGTAATTATGTTCAATAATTATTTTTAATAATATGAATTTATTATTTTTAAATATCTATGTAAGGTTCAATAATATTAATATATTTTGTTTTAATTTAATTATAACTTTATGTAGTTGTCGCGAGAAAACATGGTTATATAAAAATCACACTATAAGTACTTAATACATTTCGTTTAGTAGGAAATGTACTAAACTAAAGCATTACCTAGTACCTACTGCTTTTGGACCATACCACCATGAGAAATATAGGTATATCAAAAAAAACTAAATAAAGGTTATGCAAAATCAAATTATAATAATTTTGGATTTCTCACAATGAACAACGAGGTAACTATTTTTCTGTATTTTCTACATAGGTAGTTTAAATATAATATGATTACTCTCTTACCTTACAATTTCTAATGAAACACTATTTTAATGTGTCGTGTGAAATAACTTCCAGAAACACAGATTACTGATTAGCGATTTTGCAATTATCGCACGCAAGTTCGAACACAAACGCTATTCACAAGAGTCAAATGACGTTTAAAAATTGAATTCACGAAGTAGGTATGCAGGCAGCGAGAACTTTCCTCACTTCTAGCTAAAGTCGATCGCAAAACGTGTTCGTTCGAGAAAATTCTACCTTTTACGTTCCATTCCGTGCAAACGCTTTTCAAAGTTAAACTTTATGATTATAGCAATATCAACTATTATTTTAGTATGTTATTATTATTGACGTGCTACGTAGTTAAGATGTGACGCATAAGAATGCACTAGATATTTTCAAAGCCAATCCATTCAAATTAATTTAAGCTATACCCTGATTTATTTATTCATAAATTTGGTTAATTTATAAATAATTACTTAAAAATATACATACTCTACTTTGAAATTTATATGATTAATAAAATATTACAAAGTACAAATCATGAAAACACTCTTAAGGTGGATGCGTACTGCATACAGACTACCAGACCGTTCTAGACACAGAGTACATTGGTATATACTGGTTCTAGAGTCTGGACTGAACCGGTCTCCGGTCGGCGGTCATACGAAGTACAAACGCGGAACACCAACGAAATTGAATGACGTTCGACGTTGGCATGTTGGTTGGGTTTCAAAGTTCTTACGTCCAAATACATTTGGTGGTATGAACAAACGATCATTCGGACTTGAAAAAAACTCAAAGAAAATGTTAAAAATATTTATTGGGAAGCTTCATGATGGTGTTGGTGATATAGCAATTTGCAATTTCTTACGAGAAATTGTTTCTTAAAGCTTTTATCCGACTGCGGCAAAGCCCAAAAGAGGGTTATGTTTTTGTCCTGTATATATGTATGTTAGGATTAGATACTTAAAAACTGCTTAGTACAGTTGAAATCTTACAATTTACGAAGCCCTGCTATAAAATTAAACTCGAATACAAAAATACACTACCTTTAAAATAAGTCTACAACTATTTTTTCGATTCTACACTACAATAACTAAATGCAAGGCACGCGCCACGCGCAACCTTTATGAACATTGAACATGATTAAGACGCAAGTCGGCACGGGTTTCCGTTTATAAAATAAGCTGAATTTTACTGGAAGTATATAAACACGTAATAAATATAATTATAGGGTATGCATTACAAAAAAAATAATCGAAAAATAAGGGACGCCCTAATGTATGTAGGTACATTGTATGTATATACTGGTTAAGAAATTGTTAAATAAAACAAAAAATGTCAATCTGACCAAAACTAAAAAGCTGTAAATAAAAAAAATTGCTTACAAAAATAAAATACTCGACTGCATAAAAAGCGAACTAAAAGAAACTTCGAGTCTTGCATGTATATATGTCTTGTATCATGTATGTACTGTATTGCGTAAAGTCTACATGTACTTTTCCTTAAGCCGCGTTGACACGATCAAGTCTACTTTGACAAAGTAGTTTTGATGGCTACTTTGATTATGTAAATGAGCAATCAAAGCTCACTTTGACGTCGGCTCTCAATCAAAATGGACTTGGAGCCAAGTACACTATGTAGGTGTCAACCGCTACTTTGTAAAAGCAGACTTTGAGCGTTTCAACGCGGCTTTAAAGTTATGAGTAGCGCTGCCAGCTTGTGCGGAATTCCCTAAACTACGGGAATCTAAAGTTAATTAGGAATTTATTGGGGATTGGCATTATTCGGGGAAAATTTATGAATATTAAACGATTCCCCATATTTAAATAATCTTCATTGTACTACATTTAATTTTAGCATTTTTATTCTGTTACCAAAAGTAAAATACTTTTGTCTATCTTATAATAGATTTACATTTATTTTATGAAATTTAGTGTCTTCAAAAATTTACAAACAGACAACTGCAATCGTCTTTATACAAATACTGTAATCGCAAATCCAGTATATATCTATACTCTTTGCGCAAATCTGTAATATCTTTCATCGCAAAAAGCACAAGGATTGACACATTTGACAGCTTCAAGTCAAAAAGTGTGAAAAATATATTTAATAGTTGAAACTCGTTTCATTTCATAAAGTAATTTTGAGGGGAAATTATTTAACAATAAATTCGACTTGGATTTTCGGGGTATTTATAAATATATATTATTATATAATATATATATATATATATATATATATATATATATATATATATATATATATATATATATATATATATATATATATATTTATTGGTATTGGCAAATTGGCAATGCTGTTGGTTATGATATGAGACCCAGTGCTTCCACTTTTATGGATTTTGCTCTTTTTTAGGGTGAAATCATTTACTTTATGTATGGCCTTTTTATGGCTTTTTTTAATTCGACAGGGATTTAAGGAAATTTGGGGTAAAGTCGAGCTTGAGGTGTTTACTTTAAAGCTCTATCAATTTGTCATAGGGGATTCTCTAAACTCGTTTAGATTATAATGCGCCAAATTTGAGTTTATTTTATAGTTAGAACTATTTCCTTTGTTATTGACGACATCGGGACTTAGTAGTATGCAGTATTACACAGTGAATTTGTTTCGCTTTTTACTCTTTAAAGCGGTCGCGCGCCACAGTAATTGAAGTGTACTTATTATTTGTTTAAAGTATTTTTTAAACTAAAAAATGGCAGATAACCAAGTACCTTCCCTATTGAAAAACTCCAATAGGATCTCGTCAAAAGCGACATAAGCCACATAGAAACCACTAAATATTTATTGGTTTCTCTGTGGCTTTTGTCGCTTATGATGAGATCTATTGGAGTTTTTCAAGATGGTTCTTCGTCTAAGATAAACAAAGGTAAAAAATACACACACCCAGATTTTGAGTCTTGGTTGAAGAAAGTGTGTAGTGTAAGTGTTAAGTGTGTATGTAGTGTATGTAAAGTGGCTCAAATAAATGTGAGACAAAGGCTTACTGTAAGATTATTTGGGGTAAGTTAATTATGTGATCTCTGAGAGCATGCTTTTTATTTTGGGATAACTTAAATATAATACAGCAGTGGAAATTATTGGGGTAAAGACAAAGTCATAGACAAAAAAGAAAAAGGTTTCTTTTTTTTTTTTTTTTTAAGGGATGTGCACATTGCACTCTTACACCCTTCCTCAATGTGTACATCACAAAAAAAAAAAAACTACAATAGTATATAATACTATAACTACATAAGTACCCATAACACACAAAAAATTGTATACAAAACACTATGAAATTAACTCTACATGAAAACTGAAAAACAGGGCCACTCCTTTTAAACTTTCAAATACTAATAGTTACAAAAGAAAATTTAAGAAAACAACATTTCTCTTAACTTCACAAAAACAACTTTGCTTAGACCCTTAGTACAAATATCAGCAAGCTGATCTCCTGATGATACATACTTCAAACACACAATTTTATCTTCAACCTGCTGTCTTACAAAGTGATACTTAATATCTATATGTTTCAGGCGCTTGTGATACTCTGGGTTTTTGGCAACATGAATGGCAGACTGATTATCAATGTTAATAATAAAACTTTTACAATCAACTCCTATTTCTTTTAATAAATTCCTTATCCAACACCCCTCTGCAATTCCTTTTGCTAACGCTATATATTCTGATTCTGTACTTGATAAAGATACACACTGTTGTTTGTTGGAGGACCAAGACACTGTATTACCAAAAACTTTCATGACATACCCTGACGTAGATTTCCTATCACCTTGATCCCCTGCCCAATCAGCATCTGTATACCCTTCTAACTGCACAACATTTACTCCATTTCTATAAACTAATTTTAATCCAACTGTTCCCTTAATATACCTTAATACTCTCTTTAATGCTTTCCACAAACTCTCACTACCACAACTTTGAAAACGACTTAAGTAGCTCAATGCATAACATAAATCAGGACGTGTTCCTAACATGGCATACATGAGACTTCCTATTAACTGTCTGCATCTTTTAGTTAATTCTTTATCTGAAGATTCTTCTTTATGTAACAATAAACCTTGTTCTATAGGTGTTGACACAGATTTGCATTCTTCCATCTTATATTTCTTTAACAAATCTTTTAAATACTGCTCTTGGTCTAATTCAATGACATCTTTCTTCCTAGTGATATTTATTCCCAGATATTTTAGATTATCACCCCCTAAATCTTTCATTTCAAATTTTCTCTGCAAAGCTTCTTTTAATTTGTTTATCTCTTGCTTATCTTCACAAATTAAAATCAAATCATCAACATATAATAGAACATAAAACTTCTTATCCTTTTTATAATATAGACAATAGTCACATTTATTTCTTTCAAACCCTTCCTTAATCATAAATTGATTAAACTTCTCATTCCAATATCGTGGAGATTTCTTCAGACCATATAGAGAGCGCTGTAATTTTAAAATTTTACCATCTTCTTTCATTCCTTTTGGCTTCTCTATAAACACCTCCTCCTCTATGTTCCCATATAAGAATGCACTCTTGACATCCATCTGTTGAATATCCAAGTTGTATTTACTAGCTATTGCTAATACTATACGCAGTGTAGGTAGTTTAGCCACTGGGGAATAGATTTCTGAATGATCAAATTTATCTTCTTGCTTAAAGCCCCTTGCAACTAGTCTTGCTTTATAAATATTTTTATTACCTTCTTTCTTAATCTTGAAAACCCACTTGGTGTCTATTAACTTCTTCCCGACTGGTAAACTAACCTCTTTCCATGTTTTATTTTTACACAATGCTTCTAGTTCTGCTTGTATTGCTTTTAGCCATTCTTCTTTATATTTTACGTTAACTGCCTCTTCATAAGTCAATTGTTCTTCTCCTTGTGCTGTCATTGCTAAATCATAATCTTTAGTCCATGCTGGCTTTTTCACTTGTCTCTTACTTCTAGAATTCTTCTTTTCTTCATTTTTAGGAATATCTTCTTCTGCATCTAAAAATTCTTCATCTAAGTACTCTTCCATCATGTCTACTTCACTTGATGTTACATCTTCTGCAATGCTTCTTGCCTCTTCTTGCTGCTGGACATCTCTGTGTTCTCCTACTTCAATCTCGTCATCTTCTTCTTGATTTTGATCCTCTTCTTGTTCTTCTTTAATATTTTCTATCGATTCTACATTCTCTATTACCTCTTCATTCTCCGTTTCATCTTTCTCTAATGCATTGTCCAAGTTATTCTTAACTTTTACAAATACAATATCCCTATGAATTTCTACTCTTCTTGTGTCTGGATACCATACCCTGTACCCTTTGGTATGTAAACCATAGCCCACAAAAATTCCTAATCTTCCCTTTGGGTCCCACTTCAATCTGTGTTGTTTTGGTACATGTGTACATACAGTAGCACCAAAATCTCTTAACAGTGTAACATCAAAACTCTTGTTATACAACAACTCATATGGTGTTTTATCTCGAACTTTACTTTTACCTGTACGATTTATTGTAAATACTGCTGTAAACACAGCTTCAGCCCAAAGTTCTTTACCTAGACCTGACTGAATAATTAATGTTCTTGCCGATTCTACAATTATACGCATTTCTCGTTCTATTCTGCCATTTTGTTCAGGTGTGTAACTTACTGTTAACTCATGTATTATACCTCTCTTTTTAAACAAATTCTCAACTGCTCTATTAACAAACTCTGTTCCATTATCTGAACGAAATCGCTTTATTTTACATGTAAACTCAGTTTCAAACATCTCTAGAAATTCTTCAATTTTCTCTTTAGTTTCATACTTACTCTTTATAAAGTAAACAAACCTAAAACTGCTATAATCATCTTTCAACAAAAGGAAATATGAAGAACCACCTACAGATACTTCCTCCATCGGTCCGCACAAATCCATATGTATAAGTTCGCCTGGTTTAACTGACCTACTACTACTCTGACTAAACGGTAACCTATGCTGTTTTCCCTGGATACATGGTAAGCACTGATCAGTCTGCCCTTCATATTTAATGTCCCTTAAATCTAAAAACTCTTTAACATACTTGTAATTTTGATGTGCAAACTTAATATGCCAATCTGTTAAAGTTAACAAAGCTACATCACTTAATTTAAATCTCATTACATACATTTTGTCAAACTTATCAGCTACTGCTGTTACTGAATTATTTTTATAAAACTTACATCCATTAGAATCTGACACCATTGTGTGACCTTTATTAACAGCTGATGCTAGAGAGAATAACTTTACTTTAAGGTTAGGTACATATAGAACATCATCCAACGTACGGGAAACATAACTAGAACCATTAAAGGCCCATACAATAACCTTTCCTGTTCCCAAAACCTCTAACTTAGTACCATCTCCTATTGTCACAAATCTCTTAGCTTTTAATTCACAAAACTCTGTAAAATACTTTTTAATAAAACACATGTGGTCACTAGCACCTGAATCTAAAAAGAACATTTTTGAATCAAAAGAATAGTTACATTCAATTTCCCTAGTAGAATGGCATAAAAAAGATTCAGATTTTGAACTCTTACTTCTCTCTTTAGACTTATTCTTTTCACTTGAATTATTTTTCTCTGACTTATTTTTCTCATTATTCTTTATTTTTGACAATTTACAATCTTTGATAAAATGACCTATTTTCTGACAATTAAAACACTTCCTGTACCTACATTCACTTATTTTATGGCCTACTTTGCCACACTCAAAACATTTAATACGATGCCGCATACCCACCACTAATGCCGAGTCTTGAGGTGCCGTGCTGGCGCTGCTGCTGGGTATACTTCCACTACGCTCCTCCTCGACCAACAACCGCCCCATCAGCTCCTGCAAGCTCTGCTTCTCCTCCGGCATGCTCTCCCATGCAGATATAAAATGCTTATATTTCTCGGGTAAGGACATGAGTATCTTCGTTATGGCCATCTTCTCCGATACTTTCTCACCTGCTGCTTGAAGCTGCGTCATGCAATCTTCTATGTTCGCCATAAATACAGCCATTGGTTCTTTGAAGGTTAAATTGAAAAACTTCTGTTGAAGTAGATGAACGCCCACCTTTGATGACGGTTCATATATGGTCATCAGCTTCTTCCACATATCTGCACTACTGGTACAAGAAATCAAGTATCTCATCACTGTCTCTTCCACCCTGGTAACAATTACCTCCTGGGCTTTTATCTCTCTGTCATCCCATGATTCTTGTGTTTTTCCCTCTTCTTTAGGCCTCACCTCTCTGCCCAAAACAATCTCTAATAGTTTCTTCGAACGAAGAACAATCTGCGTCTGGAAACGCCACGCCTGCCAGTTGCGACCATTTAGAAGAATCGTCGTCTTATTATACTCTGAACTTGACATATTGCACGTTGCTTAATATGTGTGTAACCTCACAATTATGAAGCAAGACGTAAACGCCGCCCTCGCCGCCAAGTTTCGTCGAACCACGTTGCCTCGCAGGACTCCAACCTTTGTTGCACCGCGACTTACTCGAATCCACTTTGTTTTGTTTTCTACACGCCTCGACTTTTCTTGTCCGGGCCCATAACCTATTTGGGGTAAATTAAATATGTGATCTCTGAGAGCATGCTTTTTATTTTGGGATAACTTAAATATAATACAGCAGTGGAAATTATTGGGGTAAAGACAAAGTCATAGACAAAAAAGAAAAAGGTTTCTTTTTTTTTTTTTTTTTAAGGGATGTGCACATTGCACTCTTACACCCTTCCTCAATGTGTACATCACAAAAAAAAAAAAAACTACAATAGTATATAATACTATAACTACATAAGTACCCATAACACACAAAAAATTGTATACAAAACACTATGAAATTAACTCTACATGAAAACTGAAAAACAGGGCCACTCCTTTTAAACTTTCAAATACTAATAGTTACAAAAGAAAATTTAAGAAAACAACATTTCTCTTAACTTCACAAAAACAACTTTGCTTAGACCCTTAGTACAAATATCAGCAAGCTGATCTCCTGATGATACATACTTCAAACACACAATTTTATCTTCAACCTGCTGTCTTACAAAGTGATACTTAATATCTATATGTTTCAGGCGCTTGTGATACTCTGGGTTTTTGGCAACATGAATGGCAGACTGATTATCAATGTTAATAATAAAACTTTTACAATCAACTCCTATTTCTTTTAATAAATTCCTTATCCAACACCCCTCTGCAATTCCTTTTGCTAACGCTATATATTCTGATTCTGTACTTGATAAAGATACACACTGTTGTTTGTTGGAGGACCAAGACACTGTATTACCAAAAACTTTCATGACATACCCTGACGTAGATTTCCTATCACCTTGATCCCCTGCCCAATCAGCATCTGTATACCCTTCTAACTGCACAACATTTACTCCATTTCTATAAACTAATTTTAATCCAACTGTTCCCTTAATATACCTTAATACTCTCTTTAATGCTTTCCACAAACTCTCACTACCACAACTTTGAAAACGACTTAAGTAGCTCAATGCATAACATAAATCAGGACGTGTTCCTAACATGGCATACATGAGACTTCCTATTAACTGTCTGCATCTTTTAGTTAATTCTTTATCTGAAGATTCTTCTTTATGTAACAATAAACCTTGTTCTATAGGTGTTGACACAGATTTGCATTCTTCCATCTTATATTTCTTTAACAAATCTTTTAAATACTGCTCTTGGTCTAATTCAATGACATCTTTCTTCCTAGTGATATTTATTCCCAGATATTTTAGATTATCACCCCCTAAATCTTTCATTTCAAATTTTCTCTGCAAAGCTTCTTTTAATTTGTTTATCTCTTGCTTATCTTCACAAATTAAAATCAAATCATCAACATATAATAGAACATAAAACTTCTTATCCTTTTTATAATATAGACAATAGTCACATTTATTTCTTTCAAACCCTTCCTTAATCATAAATTGATTAAACTTCTCATTCCAATATCGTGGAGATTTCTTCAGACCATATAGAGAGCGCTGTAATTTTAAAATTTTACCATCTTCTTTCATTCCTTTTGGCTTCTCTATAAACACCTCCTCCTCTATGTTCCCATATAAGAATGCACTCTTGACATCCATCTGTTGAATATCCAAGTTGTATTTACTAGCTATTGCTAATACTATACGCAGTGTAGGTAGTTTAGCCACTGGGGAATAGATTTCTGAATGATCAAATTTATCTTCTTGCTTAAAGCCCCTTGCAACTAGTCTTGCTTTATAAATATTTTTATTACCTTCTTTCTTAATCTTGAAAACCCACTTGGTGTCTATTAACTTCTTCCCGACTGGTAAACTAACCTCTTTCCATGTTTTATTTTTACACAATGCTTCTAGTTCTGCTTGTATTGCTTTTAGCCATTCTTCTTTATATTTTACGTTAACTGCCTCTTCATAAGTCAATTGTTCTTCTCCTTGTGCTGTCATTGCTAAATCATAATCTTTAGTCCATGCTGGCTTTTTCACTTGTCTCTTACTTCTAGAATTCTTCTTTTCTTCATTTTTAGGAATATCTTCTTCTGCATCTAAAAATTCTTCATCTAAGTACTCTTCCATCATGTCTACTTCACTTGATGTTACATCTTCTGCAATGCTTCTTGCCTCTTCTTGCTGCTGGACATCTCTGTGTTCTCCTACTTCAATCTCGTCATCTTCTTCTTGATTTTGATCCTCTTCTTGTTCTTCTTTAATATTTTCTATCGATTCTACATTCTCTATTACCTCTTCATTCTCCGTTTCATCTTTCTCTAATGCATTGTCCAAGTTATTCTTAACTTTTACAAATACAATATCCCTATGAATTTCTACTCTTCTTGTGTCTGGATACCATACCCTGTACCCTTTGGTATGTAAACCATAGCCCACAAAAATTCCTAATCTTCCCTTTGGGTCCCACTTCAATCTGTGTTGTTTTGGTACATGTGTACATACAGTAGCACCAAAATCTCTTAACAGTGTAACATCAAAACTCTTGTTATACAACAACTCATATGGTGTTTTATCTCGAACTTTACTTTTACCTGTACGATTTATTGTAAATACTGCTGTAAACACAGCTTCAGCCCAAAGTTCTTTACCTAGACCTGACTGAATAATTAATGTTCTTGCCGATTCTACAATTATACGCATTTCTCGTTCTATTCTGCCATTTTGTTCAGGTGTGTAACTTACTGTTAACTCATGTATTATACCTCTCTTTTTAAACAAATTCTCAACTGCTCTATTAACAAACTCTGTTCCATTATCTGAACGAAATCGCTTTATTTTACATGTAAACTCAGTTTCAAACATCTCTAGAAATTCTTCAATTTTCTCTTTAGTTTCATACTTACTCTTTATAAAGTAAACAAACCTAAAACTGCTATAATCATCTTTCAACAAAAGGAAATATGAAGAACCACCTACAGATACTTCCTCCATCGGTCCGCACAAATCCATATGTATAAGTTCGCCTGGTTTAACTGACCTACTACTACTCTGACTAAACGGTAACCTATGCTGTTTTCCCTGGATACATGGTAAGCACTGATCAGTCTGCCCTTCATATTTAATGTCCCTTAAATCTAAAAACTCTTTAACATACTTGTAATTTTGATGTGCAAACTTAATATGCCAATCTGTTAAAGTTAACAAAGCTACATCACTTAATTTAAATCTCATTACATACATTTTGTCAAACTTATCAGCTACTGCTGTTACTGAATTATTTTTATAAAACTTACATCCATTAGAATCTGACACCATTGTGTGACCTTTATTAACAGCTGATGCTAGAGAGAATAAGTTTACTTTAAGGTTAGGTACATATAGAACATCATCCAACGTACGGGAAACATAACTAGAACCATTAAAGGCCCATACAATAACCTTTCCTGTTCCCAAAACCTCTAACTTAGTACCATCTCCTATTGTCACAAATCTCTTAGCTTTTAATTCACAAAACTCTGTAAAATACTTTTTAATAAAACACATGTGGTCACTAGCACCTGAATCTAAAAAGAACATTTTTGAATCAAAAGAATAGTTACATTCAATTTCCCTAGTAGAATGGCATAAAAAAGATTCAGATTTTGAACTCTTACTTCTCTCTTTAGGCTTATTCTTTTCACTTGAATTATTTTTCTCTGACTTATTTTTCTCATTATTCTTTATTTTTGACAATTTACAATCTTTGATTAAATGACCTATTTTCTGACAATTAAAACACTTCCTGTACCTACATTCACTTATTTTATGGCCTACTTTGCCACACTCAAAACATTTAATACGATGCCGCATACCCACCACTAATGCCGAGTCTTGAGGTGCCGTGCTGGCGCTGCTGCTGGGTATACTTCCACTACGCTCCTCCTCGACCAACAACCGCCCCATCAGCTCCTGCAAGCTCTGCTTCTCCTCCGGCATGCTCTCCCATGCAGATATAAAATGCTTATATTTCTCGGGTAAGGACATGAGTATCTTCGTTATGGCCATCTTCTCCGATACTTTCTCACCTGCTGCTTGAAGCTGCGTCATGCAATCTTCTATGTTCGCCATAAATACAGCCATTGGTTCTTTGAAGGTTAAATTGAAAAACTTCTGTTGAAGTAGATGAACGCCCACCTTTGATGACGGTTCATATATGGTCATCAGCTTCTTCCACATATCTGCACTACTGGTACAAGAAATCAAGTATCTCATCACTGTCTCTTCCACCCTGGTAACAATTACCTCCTGGGCTTTTATCTCTCTGTCATCCCATGATTCTTGTGTTTTTCCCTCTTCTTTAGGCCTCACCTCTCTGCCCAAAACAATCTCTAATAGTTTCTTCGAACGAAGAACAATCTGCGTCTGGAAACGCCACGCCTGCCAGTTGCGACCATTTAGAAGAATCGTCGTCTTATTATACTCTGAACTTGACATATTGCACGTTGCTTAATATGTGTGTAACCTCACAATTATGAAGCAAGACGTAAACGCCGCCCTCGCCGCCAAGTTTCGTCGAACCACGTTGCCTCGCAGGACTCCAACCTTTGTTGCACCGCGACTTACTCGAATCCACTTTGTTTTGTTTTCTACACGCCTCGACTTTTCTTGTCCGGGCCCATAACCTATTTGGGGTAAATTAAATATGTGATCTCTGAGAGCATGCTTTTTATTTTGGGATAACTTAAATATAATACAGCAGTGGAAATTATTGGGGTAAAGACAAAGTCATAGACAAAAAAGAAAAAGGTTTCTTTTTTTTTTTTTTTTTTAAGGGATGTGCACATTGCACTCTTACAAAGATATTTGTCTTTAAATCTAATCTTTGTTTTTAAAATTGTTATCTTTAAAGTGTCCTATTATTTTTATCACGTTCAATTGTATGTATTTTCCTTTTATATAACTATACGCCCTAAATTAAGGGATTCTAAAAAAATTAGGGTATTTTAGGGATAATTTCAACAGAAACTAGGGTAAAACCGAAATCTAAAGTGGAAACACTGATGACTGTCAAACATAGACCAAGAACAACTAGATGTCAAAGTCAAACTTCAAAGTTTTATTTCATATTTGTCATCCATGCTTCAAAGTCATGTTAATTTCAAAACAAACTATTTTGCACGTGCTGCAGTAAACTAATTTATTTATTTTAATAAAAGTCATTTATTTGATCAGAGACTTAGTTAAGTGAGATGGTTCAGTATGTTAAACCGTGATTGATTTTGGAATTTAGAAAATGCAACGTTCAAAAAAACCCGGGGATGATCTTCCCGGATTTGAAGCTCCATTAAACGACGATGTGCCAGATAGTAATTCTTTGCCCCAGAAAAAACAGAAGAAAGGGTCCGGAGGGTTTCAATCGATGGGGTTTAGTTTTCCTATCTTGAAAGGAATTACTAAAAGGGGTTACAAACAGCCTACACCCATCCAACGTAAGGTAAAATATTTTCATAAATCATAACCTATTCCTACTATTATGATTCTCGTAGAGAATTTTATATTAAAAGTTTATGAACGTGCATCTTTTAAAAAATTACTTTCATTTCAGACAATTCCTATTGCATTAGAAAATAAAGATGTTGTGGCTATGGCTCGCACAGGATCTGGTAAAACCGCTTGTTTCGTACTGCCAATTCTTGAGAAACTAGTTTCTCCGGTAAACAAGCCTTTACAAGGGAAAAATTTAAGAGCATTAATTTTATCTCCAACAAGGGAATTGGCTTTACAGGTTATTAAATTCGTTATAATATTATATATAATATATAAAATTCTGTTACACTCTTTTAACTAATTGTACCATTTCAAGAAGTTTAATTAAAGTGTGTATAATATCTTTTATTTATTTTTTTGAAATATGCTGATTATTTAAATGATTGCAGACATTGAGATTTGTTCGTGAACTGGGAAAATTTACTGGCCTCAGTTCAGCTGCAATTCTTGGTGGTGAATCTATAGAACAACAGTTTGGAGTTATGTCAGGCTCAACTCCAGACATAGTGGTTGCAACACCAGGTCGATTTCTACACATATGTATTGAGATGAACTTTAAGTTGGATAACATAAGTATGAATATTTCTAAATATATTTTTTTATATTTATAAATTATTATAATACCCTTAATATAATTATTATGCTTCATGTTACAGAAATCATTGTTTTTGATGAAGCTGACAGATTATTTGAACTTGGTTTTGGAGAGCAACTTCAAGAAATAGTTGCTAGGTTACCATCGAGTCGACAAACCCTTTTGTTTTCGGCAACTCTACCTAAAATGCTGGTGGAATTTGCCCGTGCAGGACTTAGTGACCCTGTCCTTATAAGATTGGATGTAGATTGGAAATTACCTTCGACATTGTGGCTTGGCTGGATCTATGTGAGGGCAGAATTAAAAACTGCAGCTTTATTATTCCTCTTAGATAGAGTGTTAACTCCAACTACACCCCAAGCTGTAGTTTTTGCTGCAACAAAACATCATGTTGAATATTTGCATTTGGTATGTATACAAATACACAGTTTCTTGGAATGCAATTACATTATTAAAAATTATTTTACATAGCACTTGACAATTATTTATCTATTTAGATTTATTATTAATAAAATTAGATAAATTTTATCTAATTTCAAGAAAAATATAAAAAGTTAATTAATTGGAACTTTTTTAAATCAGTAATAAAATCCATCATACAAACATTGATTAATGTTGTTTGGTTTACAGATATTAAAGCAAGCTGGTATAACATCTACTTATGCATACTCAGGATTAGATCCCTCAGCTCGTAAGATAGCTCTTGGAAAGTTTACAAACAAAAAGTGTTCTGTACTATTGGTTACTGATGTGGCAGCAAGAGGGTTGGACTTGCCATCTTTAGATACCGTCATTAATTATAACTTTCCTGCCAAACCTAAATTATTTGTACATAGAGTTGGTAAGTAAAAGGTTATATCAAACAAATGTATTGTACTTTTGTTGACTAGGAAAAATATCATTTTATAAAATGTTATTGTTTATTTAAATTCAAGAAATTCACAATAGCCTAAGAAGAGAGTAGAATAAGTAGAATTTAGGTGTTCTTTATATTAAAGATAGATTTTATTCTGTAGTTTGCTGCATATGTAATGTCGACCAATAATATAATGCAACATTTTTGAGTAGTTTTTATTGTGTTCTATTGTTAACTTATATTTTTCACATTAGTATATGTCACATGATGTTCTCCTAGCCGATTCCGGCCACGGCGGCCAATCTCATTGAGACTAGCCAACTGCGCAGGAGATATTATAGTGCACAAGTGTACGCGCAGACACAAGTGCACTCTCTATTCCTGTCACTCACATATTCCGATGGGACGACACGAGACACGACCAGTGAGAGTTAAAGCGCAGGACCGACAGCTTTACGTGCTTTCCGAGGCACGGGGGTGAAACACCGCCAACTTCCCATCTCTGGGCTATTATTGTGACTTACTATACAGAAAGACTCAATAACTAAACTTGGCCCGACCCGGGACTCGAACCCAGGACCTCCGAGTGTGCAGCCGTACATGCTAGCCACAACACCACCGAGGCAGTAAAACTCACTAATTATAACTTGTAAGTTGTATGTTAAGGTCGAAGTGCGCGCGCGGGGCGAGCCGGTCGCGCTCTGTCTCTAGTGTCAGCGGAGGATGTGGCACATCTGCTTGACTTGCACCTGTTCCTCGGAGCGCAGCTACTCAATCCAAATGAGGTTTGATCTTAATTACCCATATTAAATATATGTTAACCCATATATGTTCATAAAGATAACATTCTACATACCCCAACGGTTTTTTTTAATCATTAATAACAAAATTAAAACTTCACGAGTAGCTTCATTTTGACGACTCGCCCAACTGTGGATTGATACAGAACATGTCGAAATGGTGAATGTCTAAAATTTATTACTAATAGGTTGTTTCACGATTTAATCTTGAGATAACCCAACATTAAGCAAGAAAAACAATGTTGTCCTACAAAACAAATGGTTTGCATCAAATCGTCCCCCTCTCCGAACTTGTTAGAATAATAACGTCATAAAATTTATTAATAGCCGACAGATTATAATGATATTTATTATTAAAAATATGCATAATTGAAAGATCAAATCGTCCTACAAATAAAAAGGTTTCTCATTTCTACGCTCGGATACAGAAAAATATAATATTAATACTTGGATAAACTCAGCGTCGATATGTTCTTCATTTACCTTCAATAGTTTATTTTCATTTTATTCTTACTCTATAATCAGGTAACAAAATATGGCGATGAATGTCCTTCTGGCGTGTGGGGCTGCGTGCCCACCTCCGCAATCGAACTGCGCCATCAAGATGTCATGGCATGGGAGAAAAATTATTCTGAAATAGTAAGTATTACTTACATTATTGGTTGGGACTATATATAGATTTTTGCATTATAATATCGGCTGCGCACACAGCAGGAGGACATTATTATTATATCTACGTATATCTAATTGCCCTCTCAGGAAGACGCAGCCCGCGTGTGCGCGCGCGGCTGGCAACAGTACGTGCGCTGGCGCGAGGCGGCGTCGGCGGACGCCAACCGCAAGGCGAAGGCCACGCCGCCGCCCGCCGCCGCGCACCCCTTCCTCGGCGCCGCGCCCGACTCCGCCGCCGCCATGGTGGATATCATCAAGAATTATACGCCTAAAGGGGTAACTATATAATTATTATATTATTAACTAGCGACTCACCCTCGCTTCGCTCGGGTTCGTTCCTAGTTACATTTTTTTTGAGTGGAACCCTAATTCTTTTTCTGAAATAAAAGTAGCCCATGTTACTCCCTATAACATCAGCTATCTTCCAGTGAAAGTCCCGTCAAAATCAGTCCAGTCGTTTCAAAGAATATCCGGAACAAACAGACAGACAAAAATTAAAAAAAATGTGTTTTTCATATAAGTACCGTATATAATTTCATATGCATTTAGTAAAACGCTGTTATTTTGACAATACAAACAGATACTTCAATTTTATTAATCTGTATAAATTAATTATACTTATTGGGATCACGCACATCTGCCTACATCGGCGGCGATCGGGTCTTGGTTGTTGAGGCCTAACGGACGTCGAGCGACGAGCGAGCGTACTTGCGATTTGCAAGCCAATGACAATATTTTTATGCAACATTTAAATTTAAGCGTTTACAGTCCACTGCTTTTCATTAAGTTCTTTGTTATATAAAACACTAAGAATTCGGATATAACATTTATTTATTTACACTATACATATTTCATATACTTGTGCCTTCTAAGTCATACTCCTCTTCTTTGTCCACCCCTCTTCCCAGTATAGCCGGTGTCGGCTCTCCGGTTGTCTGTCTGGATCTCTTTCTGCATATTTGACCACCAGGTGGTCGTCCTCTTCCTCGCGGGTGGTCAAGGATATTTAGAACTTTATGTACTGGATGGTCGTCATTTTGTCTCAGGATATGGCCGTACCAGCGAAATCGTTTTTTTTTAGCTTTTCAGCAACAGGTGCTAACTTAAATGATAGGTCTTACATATGAATTTTATCCTGTGTCACTCTCTAGTTTATAAATATATGTTTCTATGAAATAATAAAAATAAAAAAAAAGTATAAAGTTTCATAGAACTAAACATAAACTATTACAGAAAATGTCAGTGGCGCCTGTTCCATGTCATATTTAAAAAAAATCTAGTCATTGTATCAACACCACATTTTTTTGACTCGAGTTCTGGTCTTATTACTTTTTTACACATTGTTTTAAAAAATGAATGCTTAAATATATTTTTCAGACGATTCTGGAATTAGGTGGAAAGAACGACTCACCTATGTACTTGGCAATGAAAGCTAAGCGTCGGGTACACGGGAAAACTGTGCAAAAGAAGCGAGATAATGTAAACGTGAGTTTTTATGTACAATAAGTATTTTATCATTGTGATGTAAAACGGGATATTTACCATATTTATCACTTACTTTTGAGAGTTTCCGATATTTCGGCACTGTTACAAGCTTGTACAATGGCGCTTGTTTAGCACTATAGCATTTTCACCACAATAATATTGCCAGTTGAGAGTTTAAGCATTTTTATAATAAGTATTTTTATTATTCCTAAATTGTATTGTGATTAAGTGTTTATAAAAACTACGAAAACACCAATTTTGTTTATTTTATAGGGAGACGAATTATTTGAACAAAATGTAAAGGAAAATACGAACGCTGACAATACAACAACTTCTAAGAAGAAGAAAAAGGCTGTAGAGCGCGATGAAAACTATATTCCGCATTTTGCCAGCGACCAACATACTGAAGCCGGGTATGTATATTATAAAATAATTATAATAATAAAAAATAGGACTATAAACTTTACTTAAATATTATATATAAAAAAAATTATTAAAAAGAGTAATTAACTTTTTCTTTCTTAGATTTACATGCACATTTGACATGTTAAATATTATATTTTTGGATTTTTTGGCAGATTTATTTTGATTTTTGTTTCCCATGCGACGTTTCAAATGCTTTACAGCATCATTAACTTGGTCAGATAAATGCTTCTCTTTCTGTTTTCGTAGATTATAATCACAAACACTGTTTTGAATAAAACTATTTTTGGATTCTTTCGGGTGGTCACAAGTACATACCTAAAATATAAAGACGAAGAAATTCGACGAAATAGTTTTATTTAGAACTTGACTCTATTTTACAAAATTTTTGCGGTTTTTTTTTGCTTTTTATTTCTATATATCTCGTAACTATTTCAAAAAAATTTAAACAAATTTTTTTATTTAAAATGTCAAATATTCGCATCATAATGTAATTATTGTTGAATGTTTGGTGGAATCATCCTCGTGTCTTCTTCTACGTGACATTGGCGAAGTAATTTGTGCTCTGCAATAAATTTAATAGAATTGATCGTAATCAGCGCTGGATTTACACTGGGGGCACTAGGGGCTAGTGCCCAGGGCGGCAACATTCGGAGGGTGGAAAAAAATGTTCTTCGCGTTATCGAAAATGTTTTTTTTTATTTTCCAAAAAATAAAAAATAGAAAAAGAGTAACTAGTACTAGGTACATACATTTTTCGAAAAATTTATATCATTTTATAATTAATTTTTTTTTGCATTAAAAAAATTAATACTCAATTAATTTTTTTTTACTTTTAACATTTTATTCAAAATTTCGATAATGGCCTTTTTTACAGTGGCCAGAGGCGGTTAAATCCGGCACTGATAGTATGCTATGGTATATTCGGGCTTGTTTCCGTAACTCGACGTCTGTGCACCTATTTTGCATGTGTGGGAAATTATTCATTTGTTACTCTTGCCAAACCAGTTCCTCCAGGAAAAACCTCTGGGAGTGAACTAGGGGTACCAAGGTGTTGAGCCCGGTACGTCGCTACACCTGGACAATACAAGATTACATGTGCAGCCGTTTCATCTGCCCTCATGCAGGCCTTGCAAAGTGGGCTGTCAGTTATACCTATATTAAATAGATGTTTATTATATGGTCCGTGGCCTGTTAGTGCCGCGGTTATCTGACTGAGTTGAGGACTATTGAGAGCGATCAGACGGTTTGTCGCTTTGGTTTTAATGGCCGGAAGCGATCCCTTCGCCTGCCTACAGTATACATGTTCCCGCCATATATTATCGATATTAATGCATGTTTGTGTTTGATGTTCCAGCATGGCGGTGAACTTCGCGGCGGGCGCGTCGTCCGCGGAACTAGAGCTGGGTGGCGACAGCGCGGCGGGGGCGCGCGCGCGCCGCGCCGCACTGCGCTGGGACCGCAAGCGCAAGCGCATGGTGCACGTCGACCCGGTGCGTCCCCCCCGCTCCCCCCGCCTGCCCGTGCTCATTTTTATATTAAAAAAGGACAAACGAGTGGTCGATCCGGTCGATGCTGGACATTGTTGTGTAGTGTCATGATAGGGTGGCGTGGTTATTCTAAAATTAAAACGGGCAAATGATCGATCTATCTGATAATTAAGTGGCTATCGTCGCTCATAGACATCTGTGACATAATGGGTGCTGCGGATGTGTTGCCGACCGGAAAACATGAAAACATGATTCTTGAAGAGCCTCATATAGCGCTCGAAGAAAATCTCCGGAGAAAGATCGTTCCATAATTTTCACGTGGGGGACATGTACATTTTTTAGCATAGTGGTGCATTACCTACGTGATAGTGATGACATAATTTTATATTGTAGTAATATGACCGTCTTACTGGTTTTTAACTGTCTCAGTGGTCTAGTGGCTAGCATGTGTAGCCAGACCGTGTGCTCCTGAGTTCAAGTCCCGAATCGAGTCAAAACGATTACTGGGTTTTTAGTCATGGAATACTCAGTAACAGTTGACGGTTTATGCACCCCGCGTGTCTCGGTGTGCACGCACGAGTTAACAGCCCTACGTCTTGTAGAGTTTTCGTCCAATAGAACAAGAGGGTTAAAGCGACAGAGGTTTGCTTGTGCACTATATAATATGTCTCGTACAGTTGGCTAGTCTCAGTGAAACCAGCTGTCGTAACGAAAAACGGTTAAAAGGACATTATTGGTGATCTCTTGGATTTGTATCGAATAATTTTATACCTAATTTGTATAGGAGTGTGTTTTTCGTATATTCGAATCCATTATTGTGATAATTACGATATGAACAGGACGGCGGTCGCAAGATGATCCGCACGGAGAGCGGCGGGCGCGTGCCGGCGTCCTACCGCAGCGGGCGCTACGACGCGTGGCGCGCGCGCAACCAGCCCGCCGACGGCGACGACCGACACGCCAATGCTCCCAAGCCACGTGAGATCTTCATTATGCTATTTTGTTTTAATTCCTTACACCTGTATAAATAACTAGATTAAAATTTAAAAAATCCCCGACATGTAATTCGCCATTTTGTGGTGGCGGCCATCTTGGTTTTAAAATTTGTCATAGTTTATAGTATTCTACTAGTCGAGCCCTTTTATTTGATACCCATATTGAGGGAGTTGTGAAAAAATATGTAATCCGCCATTTTGGACCGATTTTCATCAAAATTAGCTAAGAACACTTCCGACTAATTCACCTTTCAAAAAAAAAAAAACAAAACCAAAATCGGTTCATCCGTTCGGGAGCTACGGTGCCACACACAGACACATCTAACTTATAACACCCGTCGTCGTTTTTGCGTCGGGGGTTAAAAAGTACCCTTTACTCTTATCGATTGATAAGAATAAAGTCTACTTTTTAATCATGTAGAGGCCATAACTTCTGAACTAGAACTGTGATAAACATATTAAATGTATTTTATAGCTATCACAAACTTTTGTAGTACAAAATATGAGATAAATTACGTCGTTTCGATAATCTTTTATTTTAACCTTTTTTTCGTATTAGATTAAGGGGTTTTAAAGACCCCTTAATCTAATAGAAAAAAAGTATTTTATATTGGACGAATAAAAATAAATTTATTTGTCTCTTCCCTTCTATAATGCTTCATAGTTTCGTTGATACTTTCACTAGGACTTTAAAAGTTAGTAAAAATTAATTTAAAAAATAAAAACAATTTATATCATCGAACCGTATAAATATCTAGCGCATCCTTAACATATTATAACTTTTCTTTACTTGGAAGAGTTACACAATTTTAACCCTAAACGTGGACCAAAATGTATTTATTTACAAAAATGACGTCATTTCCAGCATTCGAGTTCCGTCCCCGCTGGGTGAAACACAACGAGCGCGTTTCTAAGAAGAAGGCGGAAGCATCTTCTAAGGAGTTCCGCGACAAGCAACAGATAGTGAAAGAGCGCTTACGCAAAGATAAGATAAAGCAAAAGCTTAAATTTAAAATGCGTAAAAAAGGGAAAAAGAAGTAGTCTGTTAAATGTTTATAATTTGAAATAAATCTTTTTTATTAAAGGATTTGATCACATACATTGCTTTTTATTTTTAACGTTTTCGACGAATAAATGATATACGCTATAAAATGAGACCCGGCGGTTTCTCTTAAGTTGACTTTGTTTTTTGCAAGTTTTAAAATTGTTATTAAAGCGTGGCTATATGTATGTATAAAGATTCACAAATCACACGATAAAGTTAATATTCAAACATTAAAATTATATTTGAAAATATAGTCCAGATGGGGACTTTTGGCACTTTATTTCTACTGGTGTACCCAAGGTCTCTACCAAAATTGAGCTCTCTCGGAGTTTTTGTTATTTGATTACTATTTTTATGTCTAATTTGACCGGACTGAACACTAGGACGATGTATCACAATACATTGTCCTAGACTGAAAATTTATTTTTTATTTGTATTTCGGTCTTTTTTTATATTTTTTGCAATGACATTTTTTTGACAGTGTACTTCATTATTACAACAAAGTAAATGGTGCCCAAACGGCACTCCTAGAAGCCATTGAACTTAAGAATTGAATTGAGTATCATATTAATCTGTAGATTCAAAATAATTTGAAACATGTGGTACGAAATACTCCCTCCTGCGATGATCATAACGGCTGGACTAGCCTTACCTGGTTATGGTTTATGGTGGATACATTACTTAACTCTGGGCAATGTATGTTTATGATTTTATTCATTTGATTCCTTGTTACGAATCTATAATATATCTATATATCTATAATTTTTAAATTTTTTGTCTGTCTGTCTCTTTGTCTGTGACCGCGTCACGAGAAAACCATTGCACAGTTTTTGATGAAATTTGGTATGATGATAGCTATCGGATGATGATGGTTATCGGAGTCAACATATAGCATACTTTTTACTGCGGGAAAATATCTCATCTCTGAGAAATCTATACTAAACGTTAAAACGTCCCATATAACTGCCTCGTTGGTCTAGTGGCTAGCACTTACGGTTACATATTCGCAGGTCCAAGTCCGGTCGAGGCAATTGTAGTTTTGGGGTTTACAAGAAGTTCGGGAATCGGGAATAACGGCCAGGAGTTTGAAAGTTAGCGGTGTTATACTCATAGATTATACACTTAACTAAGGTTACACCGCGTGAGTTGTACCCTAGTAGAGCTTGGGCCTCACCGGTCGTGTCAAATTGTCGTCCCACCGGACTTTGAGAGTGAAAGAGGCAACACATGCACTTGTATTTTCGATCATTCGTGCAATTTGGCTGGTCTCCTGAGTTTTTCTACTGTAGGCGAAATCTATCAGGAAGACATTCTTATAGTATTGTCTTTATACACATTATTAAGCACAAACAAATACAACGACTTTAATGAAATATATAAAATTGTTCGTGTAATTTTAGCACTATCGACGTTCGCTTCACCATAGATGGGATCGTGCTTTATATCAAAGAGACTTAAGACTAACTGGAAATCCATACCAAGTTAATGTAAGGAACTTAAAGTAGTTTTTTGTTAATTTGTCTCACCGCAACTGCCTTTACCTATATAATAACGAGAACTAAAATCTGTTTACACCTGTGACATATGTGCAAATAATCCACCCCTTCCAGGGTAGGTTGTGTATATGTTACAGGCATATAATGCTTGGAAGTTTGTAAATCTGCACAAAGCCTACTAATATTATAAATGCGAAAGTCTGGATATATGGATGTTTGTTACTCTTTCACTCAAGAACTACTGAATGGTTTTAATAAAACTTTACAATAATAATTAATAGCTCGTACTTTAGTACTTTTATCCCGAAAAATGTACGGTTCCCGTGGGATAAATTGTTTTTATTTAATATTATGCAATATCTAAAGTACATGTGTCTTATAATAACAGAGCTGTTTTATACTAATAACCAATAGTTTTGTAAAATAGTTAAATCTATAGCATTTTATTTATTTTAAATAATGGTTACATATTTCCGCAAAATATATTAATTGTTTAAAAGCATTTTACAAACGTGTGGGCGTGTACAAACAAACAGACGGCGAACTCTTGTATAATAACGAACTATACAATTTGCGTGCGACATAAAACACGCGTTACACAATATACTGCAGGGAGATAGCTAAACAGAATAAGCCGTAAGCTTTCCTTTCCAGGGTTTGGAGTGCATCCCTGATAAATAAAAGATAAACAATGACGATATGATAATAGCAAAAGAGAACGCATCATTTCTCATTTTTATGTGATTTAAAGGTATTAAAAGACAATTGAAAATGTTGATATATGTATATTATTTAAAAAAAATTAAAGATTAATGTAACCTAATTACAATTATCTGTACATGTTGACAAATAACATGTTTCATTAAATTTGAGGAAAACATCAATTTCAATTTTGGGTACCGTATCGATTTATAACGAAATAATATAATTAATGTATTTATAGAACAATATATATTTACACAATTGAAAATATCGTAGCTAAATTTTAAACAAAAAATATAGACTACACCGTATACTTAAATGTTATTATTTTAATTGTATAGTCATTTGATAAAGAAATGTGTTAAGATTTTATATCGTTCAATGTTTGGATTTATTAATTTAAAATGCATAAAATAAGAATCACGGGCGGCGTCAAAAAAAAAAGCAGTCACGAGGACTACCGACAGAAGTGAAAACTTAAAACTATAAACAAACAGTTGTTTTTTTTGTATATTAAAATTGTTTGATCTTAAATAAAAATTTGTTAATTAAAATTGTTTACAGTTATCTGGTTTTGACATCAATCGGCACTCTCGAGTGTTAGTGTTAACACGTCACGTGACCATGTCGATGACGACTTACATGAATTTACTCCCCATCCAAACCTGCCTATAGAAGTGTTCACTTCAAATAATAGTACTTCCAATGTGAATACATAATATTATATTACTTTACATAAAATAATTTCCAATAAATGTATAAAAGTATTCCGTTTGTCTTTAGCTTGTTCTCAAATAGAGCATTATATAAAATTTAAAAAAACGCATAAGCTATATATTATTCGACAACACACACGACAGAAGCGATCAACATTTATAATTTTTCATTACAATTTTTCCAATATATTAAACAAATATTACAACGTAAGACTCAAAACGGAGTATTTTAGTCATAGTCTTGCCTCTACCATGAGTCAACATATTTGATATTCGTTAGCGATCGCGTAAAATATATTTGTTATCGAAATTGAACAGCACTCTCGTAGTAATATGGCTGTATAATGTTTATTATTGTATCAATAGTGTATCTAGATACACTATTACATATATACATTTTAATATGAGAACTCATGGTAAAAACGTGTAATAAATTTGGAAATTCACATATGATTATATTTTTAGATATGAAACAGTGATTTCGACGCAAACTCGTTTAATAATAATTAAACATTCATTCATTTAATTTGCTAAATATAAACTCTAGCTAGAATTGAAACCCCCAAACTCCCCAATAATTCACGTCACAACTATGATTAGTATATTATAGTTTGGTGTTTTAGCGTACCTATCTAATCAACAATAAATTCATTTATTATTAATAATATGTAATATACTTCTACCTAACTAGATCCTTGCTTTCTCATTTATCGACGTTTGGCGGTTTTGTCCGATAATAACTTTGGGTAATTACTTCCGTAATTTCATATTCAAAAACAATTTTATATGTACATGTTAAAACTTAAATTTATTTTAATAAAGAACCTAAATCTAACCTCTTTTCATCCGTGAAACAATCAGTCTTCTCATTGCAACAAATTTCGATTTTATTATATTTACATTTCCTAAAGTTTTGATCACACAGAGGACATTTACAAAAGAGCCGAGCTTCAGGATAGTATTGCATTACATTGTCGACTGAAACTCAATACTATTCATCGAGAATGTGAAGATTTAAATTCAGACATTGAAAATATTTCCATGTTAATCTACGAAGACTGAATTATTATTTTTTTTTACCAATGAGATCTATACTATTTATAAGAAATAGGTCGAGTACTATATACTATATACTAACGAGTGAGATGATTCTGAATTTCCATATAACTGTGTAATATTAGTTAAAATTGAATGAAATTGATGTGCAACTTGCATTAGTTATATAATGGACGGGTCAAAATGGGTGTTCTTTAGTGAACAATATTGAGCGAGTAGTTAACTGACGTAGCTACCTACAAAGGCCTAATGCGTATGCTATCAAATAGCATGTCCGATAAAATCTTGCACATTTGGCAATTTACTTTATTTTGACAACTACAAGAATGTAACCTATATAAAGGAGAAGTCCGAGTATGTAAATTAGTAAATAGTAGTTTTTGATGTCTACATACCATTCTGATTGTACGGTCTCAGGAGGGTATGGCACTAAAATTAAAAATGAGACGAAAAACAATAAATATAAAAGATACCTATAACCGATAATGTATAGTCCCAAAAAACTTATATCTACAGGATGAGATAAAACATAATATATCCAGTTAATTAGTGAGAATAAGGATAATCTATATAATTCAAATATTTTAATCTACCATAGCGTATTTCAGATACTTCTTCGTTTTATTTGCATGTAGTCGTCACGTGCAAGGAACAACATTGTAACTCAGCATTGTCGGTTAATTCATTTAGATTTCATTGCTACGAAACGAAACTTTTCAAAATTGAGTTGCAATACTGTTTCTCGCTAGACGGTATATTTAGTCGCACAGTCTTTTAATCCAGCTTGATCCAGTAGTTACTAATAGGGTGAATGAGAACATGGTGAGGAAACCTGCACGTCTAAGAAGGTTAACCTATAGTCCGTTTTTTAATCTCAGAGACAAAACTGACATTAAGTGGGTTGCCAGTTTTTTGCAATTCTTAAATAGTGATGGGCCTCTATTGAAAATTAACGTTAATAAGTTCGCTATTTTATAATAAGTTGTCCTGAAATAATGTGTAGGTACTTATTTAAAAAGTAATAATACATAATTAATAATACAAATTTAAATTTAATAGTGTGGATTTTAATGATACTTAATAATTTTAAAACCAATAAATGTGATATTTTATGATTTAGAATTAATAATGTCAATGTTAACAATACACTTTGGAATATAAAACTTTGAAGCGAATCGTCGTAATAAAGATAAAAAGTTACACGATTCAATAAACCGGTATCGTAGACTACACAAAACAACATCGCACAAAAGAGCTGGCAGCATTACTTGTAAAATTTGATATTCGCATAATATAGTCTCCGGAGATTAAAAAACAGAGTATATCAAGTCATATCTGTGTACGCGTCCCGGCTATAGTATGCCGTTGGTGTAGTACTGGTAGTTGTCGTAGAGGCGCGTGGAGAGCGAGTGCAGCGCGTCGCGCACGAGGCGGTCCACGAGCGCGCGCAGCTGCGGCTCCGTGCGGCCGGCGTGGAAGCGCGCGCGCAGCGCCGACACCGCGCCGCTGCTGCGCAGGCACGCCAGCTGCCCGCCTGCGCGCACACACACATGTTACATTTTTAATATTTATTACTATAATACCGACCGGCTTCGGTCACGGCGGCCAGTCTCATTGAGACTAGCCATCTGCACAGGAGATATTATAGTGCAGCGCGTGTGCGCGCGGACACAACGTGCTCTCTCTATTTCTGTCACTACGAGACACGATCGATGAGAGTTAAGGCGCAGGACCGAGTCCGGCCGGTTACTGAAACTTACTAAACAGAAAGACTCAAAAACTAAACTTGCCCGACCCGGGACTCAAACCCAGGACCTCCCAATGCGCAGCCGTACTTGCTAGCCACTACACCACCGAGGCAGTTAATTATAGACAGCACCCAAAAATGCCTATCAGTAGCCTATGTTACTGCAGGTTATATTTTAAAAATATGTAATATTTATATAAAATTATATGATACTAAATTTTCTCCTAAAATTCCCTCTTCCTTATCTCCGTTACATCTCGACGGAGTCACACACACACACACACACACACACACACACACACACACACACACACATACAAACTTCCACATTTATAATAGTAGTGGGACTATATAACGTGTAACACAAATGTACGCAGCTAACCCATGCGCATGACGTCGACGATGTGTATGATCTGGTCGCAGTGCTTGCGCGCGGCGATGAGGCCGCGCAGGATGAGGATCTTGAAGTACGCGAACATGTCCGAGCTCTCGCCGTCCATCACCTCCACGAACTCGCCCGTCAGCTGCGGACGTCGTATGACATTCTTTTTAAATTTTATTTATTTACAATTGTATAATTTATTCATTTTCAGTAATTATTTTAGTTTTATGATTGCATACTGTGAAAACCTATAATTAAAAGAACATTCATCCTGTTACGAATTTAAGGATAATTAATTTTAGGTAAAAAATATTATTTATTAATTATGACATTTATATGTACGTATATTGTATATAAAATTATTCATTGCGAGTAGCGCTAGATAGAGTCCAATGGAGACAGTTGGAGGAGACCTTTTCCAAGAGGCACCACAAATATATTATTAATTTAAAAATAACCAACAATAGATACTTTAAAAAATCATACATACAACATATGATTACATTAGCAAAGAGATAGAAACATGGATTATATTCAATAATTAATATTGAAACAAAATATTTAATAATAACAATAATTACCTTAAAAGGAGAACTCTCGAATCCTAAATTTTTCGGTGAAATGGAGAAGATAAATCCAAAGTCAATATGTATGATATGTCCTGCACTGTCCAATAGAATGTTCCCATTGTGTCTGTGAAGTTAAAAGGTGAAAGGCAAAATATAAACAAAATGTCTAAATAAATGTAAACTGTAATTTTAACAACAACAACAAAAAAAAAACAATAATTTTGGCACATAATCAAGCATTACTTTATCATTTCCATTAGTGAAATATTTCTTATTTATATTCAAAGTTTCTAAACTATAACTATGAATAAAGAAGTAAAAACATATGTATTTCAAAGGATCATATTTATCATTACTATGACCTAAACAAAAAAAAAAACTATAATAACACCTTGTGTTCTAAGACACAACAACACATATTTTTATATCTCGGACATCAACTGCAACATTGTAAACTATCAAACAAACAATACCTATCTTTTAGCTGTAGTAGATAGCTAGTGAGGGCGTACGCGGCGGCGCTCTCTACGAAGTTCTTCTGCGCGCGCAGGAAGCCCTCGCTGTTGGGCGGGCCGTGCTCGAGCTCGAGCCACGCCCGGAGAGATTTGCCCGATTGCTTCTTTATTTGATGTAGTGACACTGAGTTTAGCACCTGTTATATTAAACATTACACCTTTAAATTATACTTGTAAAAACATCCTCGTCACAGATACAGATATGGAGGTCCAGAGTTTCGAGTCCCGGCTCGGGTCAAGTTTAGTTATAGAGTTTTTCTGTTAAGATATTCTTAGTAATAGGCTGAACTGGGCAGTTGACCGCTGTTCGTCATGACCGAAATTGGTTAGAAGGACAAGTTATTCCACTGAGTTATTCATTAAAATTAAATTAATATGGCAAGCTAAACATAATATGAGAAAGAAATGCGATTATCTTTATAATAAAATTGTAATTAAGCCGAATCTGTACATTAAATATTTTTTGGAAAATCTTATTGAAATAGATATTATTATCGATACAGAGGCCAAATCTATAGTTTTTAGAATTTTTGTCTGTTACCGCGTCACGGAAAAAACACTTGAGGGATTTTTATGAAATTTGGTAGGATAATAGCTGGTTATCTGGGTCACCATATAGGATACTTTTTACTGCAGGAAAATATCTCATGTCTGAAAAATCTATACTACGAGTAAACTTTAAAACGTAAGTAGGGACGAAACCGAGCAAAACGAAGGTGAGTTGCTAGTCGTAACTATAAATGAATAATTCTTGAACAAGACGTACATAACATGTAATTTTTTAGGTAAAAACTTAGAATGATAAATTCACTTCTTAAAGTAGACGTTAAAAATGTGAATAATTTCCCACTAAAGATTATAATATTATGTATCGAAATCGCAAATCACAATCAACTCCAGGTACCGGTTCCAAACCAAATATCGGATCTACTTTATCTGTTAATTATTTATATTATGTAACTTTGTAAAAACTATATGAATAAATTATTATTATAACTGATGCAGGGTCGCTTAACATTACCATTCAGTTGTCTTAGCTTATGCGACTGACTTGTAATGCTACTTTTTTGCAGTTCTGTTAGTAGTCGTGACTGGTTAAGCAGGTGAAGCAAGATTCATAAAAACTAAATCTTGTTTCAAAAATAAGGAATTTAGTGAGGGTGAAAAATGATAGCGTAAAGAAGTGCAAGGTTGTGGAAATTCTGATAATGTCTAACGGTAAGTCCAAATGGCTTTAGTTAAACTTTTATATGGATTTTTATATGATGGATTCAACGAGTCTGTTTATTAAGTAAATCAGGCAATCATGTTACTGTACAGTCAATCCTTATTTAAAAACAAATAAGCTTTATTTAAATCAGTATGAAGTGTTTTGAGTTCTGACGTCCATCAAAAGTCGACATTGTAGAGACCTCGTGGTTTAAATTAAGTGAAAGTAAAACTCATAACTAAAAGCTGCTTAATTATTCTTTATATACTCGTATATCATTTTCTTGTTTAACGAGAGACCTTTCCATAAAATAAAAATAATTGCTATTATTTCTCATGACTTTACTTTTACTGATAAGGTCTACTTATTTATTATAATCTTTTGTTAACGTTTATTTTATAGTGCGTTGAAATCCGGTAAATTAGATTGTTATTAGTCACATGCAAAATATTCATCTATACAGATAAATAAAATTGATGTGTCTGTTTGTAATGTCAAAATAATATCTTTTTACTAAATGAATATGAACTTATATACGATACTTATAAGAAAAACGCAATTTTTAAATTTTTTGTCTGAACGGAACTTTCACTGGCATATAGCTGATGTTATAAGGGGTAACTTAGGCTTAAAACTTTTATTTTAGAAAAAGAATTACGGTCCCGCTCAAGAAAATTAAAGCTTACCTACATATTACGCACCCGAGCAAAGTGAGAGTAAGTCGCTAGTAAATAATAATTAACTATACATTATCAACTAATGATTATATTGTGACTGAGAGATGTCCATTAACAATTTATTTATATTGAATATAGTATATATATAGAATATATAAGAATGTACTAAGGTCGATTCTTGATCTTTATCAACTTCAAAAAAGGACAAGGTAAGGTACTAGAAATAAAAGTGTAATTCATTGGCAACGTAGATAGCGTTACATGATATCTCCGCCTACGCGAACAAATTTATTTTTTTATTAATACGCTCTAGGATGATGATCCAGTTTAAATTTCATGAAAATAATTGGGGTTACCATAACAACTTCACAGTTTATTTTGGATTCAGTCTTATTTATGAGTTAAATAATTAAAAAAAATTCTTTAGATGTAACTATTTCTGTAACATGATCTTGTATATACGTATATACATATCTTGATATGTATTTCCGTTAATACTTTTTTCTGTATACCTAACTGATTCATGTGAACAAGTAATGTTCATCTTGCATTTACGTCATCATTTTTAAATGATGTAATGTAGTTTATTTGATAGGTTTTAGTTAAATATAATTAACGAGTTAATTATCCGAGTTAATTATGTACTAAATTTCATCATCATATGTTCATTAGTGTCTTAATGATTTTTTTATAATATTTAAAGACGTTTAAATGGAGGAACAATATACATTTTAGGACAAATATACATTTTAGGGGGCAGATGGAAACTAGGAAAGAGAATAACGTGGTCTATTAATCATACTAATATATTAAAAGCGAAAGTTTATAAGTGTGTTACTACTACACGCTTTAACAGTTTTACACGGCTTAGTATTTACTAAACCAGATTAACGAATTACACATGGTTACATTTTGTCCGCTGACAAATTTCAGTTAGAATAATGTCCTCCTTGACCGATTCCGGCCACGGCCGCCAATGTCACTGAAAGTATGTAGATACATAAATATGTACACAAGAGATAGTAGAGCGCAAGTGTAGGTGTGAGCATATAAAACCGATAATTTCTCAACTGCGGAGTGTTACTAAGTATTTCTTGATGGAAAATCTCAATAACTAACTTGATCCGGGACCATGAACTCTACATCAGTAGCCGTGCACATGCTATAACAATATATTGCCAACCATAATATAATAGTATACATATATCATACTAACAATAAAAACTTTTTAACAAAAAAATAAAAACCGACTTCAAACAAAAGCACTAAAAAGTAAAAAATAACTGATTGGTAGTTTTCATTTACTATACATACCTAATCAAATATTTTCGAAGTCGGTGTGCTTTGGCTAAGTAATTAAAGCCTACCTATTAAATACATACCTAATCAAATATTTTCGAAATCGGTGCCAGCCCATACAAAGCAAAGCACACCGACTTCGAAAATATTTGATTAGGTATGTATAGTAAATGAAAACTACCAATCAGTTATTTTTTACTTTTTAGTGCTTTTGTTTGAAGTCGGTTTTTATTTTTTTGTTAAAAAGTTTTTATTTTTCCCTTTTTAGTGTAGACAGTAGTAGCAAAGTAAGAATTCTAAAATGTTAGGCTTGTCAAACCAAACAAAATAAGCCCAAACTCAAAGTATCTACTATTAGTCGTTGAAGATTTCCACCTATCCACCTTCTGGCCTTACCATCAGATCAGGTCAACAATACCGAAACACTGTACTATCAACGGAAATAGAAATACTTGCAAAGTTTCAAGTCAATATGACAATTAGAAGTAGGTTAAATTCATTATTAGCTATTTTTACACACTTAGGGGTGGTATTTTTTTTGAAAATTAAATGGGACCAATCTGGAAGTATACCCTTTCAAACAAAACAAAAATTGTCCAAATCGGTTAATAAATGACGAAGTTCTGAGATAACAAACATAAAAAAAAAAGAAAAAAAAAATACAGTCGAATTGAGAACCTCCTCCTTTTTGAAGTCGGTTGAAAAAAAACACGCGAAATTTCGTAAGGATGTATGGGGGTTTGTTACTTTTTCACGCAAAAACTACTGAACGGATTTTGACGAAACTACTGTAATATACCTTATACCTACATCAGAGAAAATCATAGACTATAAAATATAAATAAAAATTACTTAATCGTAATACGTGGGTGAACGATAATTATAGGATACGTATATGTGTAGGGCGGTGAAACAAAACATCGGGAGGAAACCTGCATGATTGAGAGAACCTAGCAAGTTTTCGAAAGACATGTGAAGTTAGCCAACCCGCACCTGGCCAGCTTGGTGGATTATGGCCTGATCCTCCTCGTACGAAGGGAGGCCCGTGCACAACTGTTAACAAAAGGGACGTTAAAAAAAGGGCTGAATACATGTATGTGTAGGTACTCACGGGCTGTATGAGTCCACTCTCACGATCGAGACAGAGTATCTCATAAGGGCGCAGCCGGAGCGGCACGCGCTCGAGCTCCCACACGGCGCGCAGCCGCCGCAGCAGCTGCGCCGCCAGCATCTCCTGACGCAGGTCGTCGCCCACCTTCACGATGCAGCCGAGCAGCCGCCAGCCCGCCAGCGAGCCGTACGGCGACGACGACCGCATGCGGGCCAGCTTGCTCTCCCACGATTCCTTTAATGTACATTAATCGCTAGTTAAATTGCCCAACGAGACGTTTTTATTGAAACGGTTTGGACTTACGCCTGGTAGAAAAATTCACTAGCCGTAACAAAAACGATCACATTTTAGATTATAGGAACCGAGCATAAATGGTTCAGTACAACGTACAACTTATCATTGGTGATATTCGGCTGAATTACAAAGAAGATTTTCTTTGTGTTTTTCTTTTTTTTCTAATTTTACATAATGGCATACGTAGTCATTTCTATAATAAAATGTTTTGAATATATTTTGAAATATGCATTTAATAATTATAAAAAAAATACAAATATATTTGAGCGGACGTTTTAATTGATATCCACAAGGAACTCTTCAAGCACTTGCCCTTACCAGATGATGTCTATAGGATGGAACGATTTAGAGATCAAAACACCTACGTCTATAGGAGAGATTGATTTCTGAGTTTATATACTTCTTATATTATAGTAGTATAAACAAGATCGCAACTAACACGCTCGGAAATCAAATTTCGGATCCATCAAACATAAACTGCTTTAATTTAATTTTTGCGGTCAAATGATACCTTCATTCAATTAAAGTAAAATCATTTACCTATAAAAAACTTAAATGAACTCTACCCACGATTTAATTTTAATGTGATGTGAAAGGTAGATAGTGTTTATTACGAACATCAAAGGAGAAATCCGGTTCCCATATAAAACTTGGGTCTGCCGTTACAAGGCTGAAAATTAACCATAAATTAAAGCATTTAGAAAGGTTTCATGAGCCTAATTTTCAAGGACGCCAGCAATGGCCAATTTAGTCAAGTCAAGTAATTAGGTTCTGTTTAGGTTACGGTTCACTTTTTTTGCCTACCATATATTCTGAGTAGTATATAGTGTATATATATATAAATACTTCTGTTTGATTATCATTAGTTATTTATTATTATTGTAGGTATATTAATTTATATTGTCCAATATAGTATACAGAGGAGGTTTTATACAATCTTCGTACCGCACAGATAATATATTCGCACAACACAATGATGGCAAACCAACAGTTATCTTTCTTACAATTCAGTAGCACTAATATTTGACTATAGCCCATGACTCCCACTTAAAAGCTTGCAACTAAACAAAATGGATTTTATGGTCCATGAGCCTAGATATTATTCTTTTTATAATCAAAAGTCTGGCTGGTATACATCGCTCATCCAATAGAACAATGACGTAATTACGTTTTAGCTATTGAAAGTTTGAAGCTTTTATGAATGTTACTCTAACTGTCAATAAAAATGTATAATAACTTCCTTAGAAAACTCATGAAAATTATTAAAAATACCAATTATAACAAACCTGACGTACATTAACAATTATGACATAAACTATGTTAAACAACAAAATAATCAAAAAAGCATAAAATCAAGTAGGAATATGCGTTTTTCAGGCGAATTTGGCGAATTTCGGCGAATTTCGTCTTAGATCCTATGTTCATACCACATTGAATCTATTCTGCTGTATCGTCGTATGATCTCTTGTATAAATAAATCAGATCCCTTAATAAATTTAATTAGTCGAATGTCCGACAACTTGACAATATCTCCATTAAGATTTTTGTTGAAATTGATAGATAATTGATCAGTTAAATCCTTCCAATCAATAAAATCTGGTATGACCTCTCACTAAAAACTTATGGGTAAAAGTATCTGAAAATATAAACATTCAAATATCGATTAATGTTGATATCAGAATTCATTCCGTGCACTTAAAACCTACCTATAATTATTAAGATAACTGTATATAATGTTAAGACTTTAATAATCTTCACCTACGATTCACACAGATCGCACTGATCTTTCTTTGAAAAAAAAAAGATATATTAAAATCAGTTTTAAATTTGCGTAGACGTCGTAAGTTACTGCTTCTTTCTGTAGAGAAGAACGTTGTGTCTTGTAATTACGATGTACTTAAATAATGCGATTCAATCCGTGGCACTGAATTAATATGGTCTTTAACAGATTGTACAAGTTCTGGATCTCTTTTTTTATGATTCCCATTTTAACTCTGTGGTCTCGATTACAGTTCTTAGTGTTCTCTCAGTAATTCCGAGAGTGTTTAACAAAAAATTTTTGCGTACTTTAAAACATTGACCGTTATTTAATTGAAAATGAGCAATTAGGTGTTAGTACGACGACATGAAATATTTATAGGTTCTATACACGTGCATTCTCTGTCTTTGAAGAGATGCCAAATTCCAATCCACTTTGACCTTCAATTTCAGCTAAAACACAGACTTTTCTGAGAACTGGGTCATTTCAAGTAGGAAAATTAAAAAGGAAGAAAATAATAGTCTTACGTTTCAACCGACACGTTCTCACTTCGCGAGGCGCCCCGCACGAGTGACAAATATGTCGATGTTTCCGAGTATCCTTTTGAAAAATACGTCAATTCCCTAATGTCATTCACTCCATCTATCGAAAACTACCGTAAATATAATTATGCCGTTTTTGTCATAGATAGAACTTTCGAAATAAGAACTTATGACAATCAAAAGTCATTTTCAACTTTTTGGTAATTACGTCGTTGTTCTATTGGATGAGCGACATGTAGAGGTCCTTCCGAAGGTATTAAAACACACTATGGTAAAATGAACAAAACTCTGCTTGCGGACAAATGCGAAAAGCAAATAACATATTTATATACTGATATTAATTAATAATAAATAATCGAAGCCATCGATAATACTGTTAGCAAAGTTATCTGAATATTAAAACAATCGCATTGATACATTACTTTTTGATTATTGGTTAACATCTTTGTAGTTATACTTCTAAAAAAAGTATAATCTTGTTTTTTTTTTGTGTTCATTATAATACTAAAAGCATAATTCTGTACTTTTCTAGCTATTAAATGCTACGAATGTTAATGTAATAGTAACTATATTAATTCACTTTGTTTACTTCAACGTATCGTAGGTTTGAGGAACTCATGCATTGATTCTGAGAGACATGATCTACAAAAAGTAATGCCTAAAAAGCTACTTTAAAAGTTTATATCGAAAATATGATTTCCAACCTTTTCTTTAATTGACCAATATGACTTGTGACTGATGTTAAAAAATATATATACTATAGGTACTTATTTGAGTCATGCACATTTAGGTCCTAAATCAGCTTTTTCGTTTTTGCTAATTATAATAGATTTTTTTGACTAATATAGATAACATATTATTTAAGGCGAGGTAACTTTTTCTACAATATCTTATAGTGTATTGATTTGATAATATAATTTGCTAATAACATGTCCATGCAATGGACCCATCGCGTGTAAGCCCGCCCTTCCTTTACAAATGAAGCGTGACTAATAATGTAGACTGTTGTGGTTTCCCCCGTTTTACAAATATCGATTAGGGTACAATTTGCAACACTAAATTTAAATTATAATAGTATATTTTTTTGTTTTCGCTAAACACATTATATGCATTGTATTCAAAACAACCGTACGGGGAATCCCCTTTATGTTAAGTTCAAAATGTGTTTTTTCTATAAAAATTGCAATATGCGGTACAATAATACATTTAAGCAAACTATAATTACAAACTAGTATCATTCATGAGAAACATAAATAACGTTAAAAATGTGCTTGATTATAAACTTTGTAGTTTCGTGGTATTTTAGCTAATATTAAAAACGAGTACTCTATTACAATTTTTATTTAATAAACCAAGTATAACATTACTAAATTATGTTTAAAAAAAATTGTACTGGGATAAGGACTATAACCATACAATATTTAACGTGCTCTTAGTTGTATTTCGAAAAAAAGTAATAAATATTTTAATAAACATTATATTACTAAATTAAGCATCATAGACAATTTATCGAAATGCACACTTATTGAGTAATTTTGCGAGCCATAGCAGAGATAAGGCAATAATCTACATAGAGATAGTATGGACTATTCTTGAATTAATTTTATAATATGATAAATAATATGATGGTTTTAACAACCATTATACATCAATGTACGCATGAGCACGTTTACACAGATGTAAAATGTGTATGATCTTTTCACGTAATTTTAAAGTTGTTTTTTTTTCTGTATAATGCTTAGGCAATTCCTTGAGATGTTATGTTGGCAGTTTAATTTGAAATGTAGATTCTTATGAGAAAAGACAGCGAGAAATTTATAATTCTTTGTTTTTCTATTAACGTCGCTATTGTTTTATAAAGAGGTAATCACGTAGGACGTGAGAATGAGCTGTCCCCGTCACGTTTGCACGCGGTTTTATTTCTATAATCTCATAAAATTAGTGCCGTATTATATTATTGTTATTTTAAAACTGCCATGTACATTTAAATGTAATATAAGTAGGGGTAAGACAACTGTTTTGGTGCAAGTCGTCACACTCTAATAATAAGAAAAGGTTTATAAGTTTATGAATATATCCTTAGAATCACTTGCACTAAAATTCCAAATTTAATTTAATCTATTAAATAGTTTTAAAAACCTATAATAATATTATAAAGAGACAGAGTTTGTTTGTTTGAACGCAGTAATCTCAGAAACTACTGATCCGATTCGAAAAATTCTTATTGTATTATATAGCCCGTGTCTTCAGGAAAGCTATAGGCTATATATTATCATGCAACTACCCAAAGGAGTGGAGCAGGAGTGTAATATATTCTATCTATTCCATACTAACCGTTAAAACGTACCTAGGGATGAACCCGAGCAAAGCGAGCGTGGGCCGCTAGTGTTAAGTACATTTTAAAGTTTGTTAAATATATATAAATCCAATTGCGGCTTAATGCATAGGAGGATAATTTGAATTATGTACAATGTACATATTGGTTACATTTAAACAAACATTGCCATTAACGTTTTAAAGTCTTGCCATAAAATATACATTTGAAATAATTTACGGACATGTATTTACGTGTCGGCAGATGTGTGTTTTAACAAGATTTTATCACCTTTAGTTACATAACTAACAAGCTTAATTTAGAAAATCAAAGTAAGCGAAGGTATTTCTAAAAGTCTTTGTTATGCATGTGTTCATAATTCGACAATACCTTGGTTATTGGTATAATTATAATACAATAACTCGGTGAAATGATGAAACCAGAATATGGATAATAGACTTCTTCATAACAGAACTTTCCAACGATTAGGGAACCTTTCAAATTAAAGTCATTTAGATTACTTTGAAGAGTTTACAAGTTTATAAAGTACACAATAGTTCACGAGTCTAACGAATAGGTACTTAGAACGAGGATTAACGTATTAATACTGAATCTACGATGCCTATCCGTTCTAGTCTTAACAAACCACAAAGAATTATGTTTTAAAATTCAAATATTTTTAACAGAAAAAAAAACGAAAAATGCAACACGTTACTAATCAGTATTGAGGCAATTTTTAAGATTATAAATAAAGGCAAAGAACTAATCTTTTGTTTGCTTTTCTCTTTACCCCAAAGATTGAGTTATTTTGTTGTTCCTTGCAGGTGTTGACGGCATTGCATAAAGAAACGTAAAGATTATTTTCATTTCGCTCAAAATTGAGTTACAATACCTTGCAGGTGTATAATCAAAAGTCAAAAATTGTAAAATAGTTCTCATTTTATCTTAAATTGGGTTACGATGTCGTTCCTTACAGGTGTATATAAAAGTGGTAAAGAAACTAGATTTTTTTTTACTATTAAAGTATTGTAGGTACCTTGAGTGCGAGCGCGGATGGGTCGGCCGGGTCGTGCTTGAAGGCGTTGGGCGGCGGCGCGGCCGTGGCGTCGGCCAGCCGGCGCCGCACCTCCCCCGCGCCCACCGCCACCGACTCGCGCGACCCGCACGACGACGTCGACAGCGCGGACAGCGCCGATAGAGCCGACACCTGAGTCATTGTGGGGCTCGTGTTATTTTTATTTTATTTGAGATCTCCAACAAAAGATACACACTATATACATCATCTATACTCATATTAATACATATTAGAGGTAAAGTTTGTGTGTTTGTGACGTTGTAGGGGGTAATCTCTGGATCTACCAAACCGATTTAAATAAAATTTGGTAAGAAGATAGTTTGGAGACCCTGGGAAGGACAAAGGATACTTTTTATCCCGGAAATCACTCCTTAGGGGGGTGAAAATTTAGGTATAAAGATACAAAAAAAAGATACAAATCATATTACAACACAATATGACATTTTTATTATTTGTTATTGACGTCAAATAGGACCAGTATTGTAAATGCTAAGTTTTTATTTTTGTGTCTGTGTGTGTTTGTTCATACTTCATAGTGAAACTGCTGGACGGATTTAGATGAATATGCATCGATCGACTATATAACACACCTTATATTATATTATAGGTATCTTGTATCGTATTTGAATAACCTTATGTAACAAATAAGCTACTAATAGGCACGTAAGCGAGCATAAGTCGCTAGTACTGTTAGTATAGCGAAAGTATGTATGTTTCATATATATTTGGTTGGCTGGACGGATTTGGATGATTTAGTACACAAATACACCATGATATTTATTGTTTATATCATATATGCATAGGCTATTTGTTTGATACCTAGGAATGCACTAGGAGCGAGGCAAGGATGAGACACTGGTCACTTACAAGTTATTGAAATTAATATGATAATTTAACAATTAATTATTATTATTATTACACTAGTGTCCTAAGATGTCCTTCGCATTTATAATATTACGGAAGCATTACGGAAGTTCCCAGAAGGGACACATTCTTTACCATTTACCATACCGGTATACAAGATATCGCAAAATCTGTATATATTATGGTTCTCTTCTTAGATATTTTTTGTGGTTTTCTATTGGTGAAAACTATATGAATATCCGTACAGTAGTTTTTGAGATTCACCCGAAATAAACCTCAACGCTGCTAGCGATTTTAATTTATAATATATAATGATTTAATAAATACATATTTCACAAAATTGTTATTTAAAACTTAAGATTAAAATTTATTCATATATAATTTATATGTACGGTATGTTGGCATAAAGATTTTTCAATGGACAAGTTAAATTATAACTTTTTACAATAATAATAATAATAATAGAACGACGCGCAACATCGTATCATCAATTAAATTTAATTATTTGCATTTAAATTAAGTTTCTCTTACTTTCATTTTTCTCTCAATACATTTATATTACGGTTAAATTTAGTTTAGTCGGTTGCTATATTAGTCGAGTCGAGGTAATTAACTTTAATATACTAATAAGCGTGGACCCTTACCATATGTTACAACAAATTAAAACAGTAATATATAGTCGGTATACCTGCGACACGCTATCTGGGGCGGGCAATTTAGGCGTGTATTGCGTGTATGGCGCGTGTTCATCATCATCGTGACTCCAACAGTCGCCTGCATCCACGTCGTCTAAAGCTGAATAGAGTGACAAAGCCGGCCATTCCGGTACGAGATTCTCTTCACTCTTCGTATGTCTGATCGGTGGCGAGTGGGGCGCGGGAGGCGCCGGCGGCAACAGACGCGGCGGCAGCGGCTCGTGTCCGTCCGTCTCTAACACTTCCACGTACATTATGTATGGCGCCTGTGATATGGATAAAATAGATTGATAACACTTTGAATCAAACGACAACAGATTTGATGCTAATCAAAGTAATAGTATTATTATTATCATCTCAATAATTAGATAAATCATCTAAACAAATATAATAAAACAAAAAATGTAACCCTTCATACTACTAAAAAAAATCGTTTGAAAATTATAACGTTAAGAGTAGGAACAACTGATTTTATAGTTATAGAATGTTTTGGAGAGCAAATGATTACATTTTGTACCGTGATAATACATACGTTATTTTTAACTGCTTTTCCATTAAAACTAAATATTTCACACCTTATCTTTACTATTGAGGACAGCAGCAGCGTGCGGCGGTATCCTCAAAACGTAGTGAGGTTTTTGATGTAGTGGTAACCATACTCGAGCTGGTAGATTGAGGTCTAACGTAGCGAGCTCGGCCCTGAGCCTGCCATTTCGCCGCTCCTTATCCGCCACACCGGCTAAACGACGTCCGATATTCGTGAGCGACATGAGAAACTGCAAATAATGTTAATTATAAGCTATTTACATATCTATAAAATTCTTATTGACATAATTTATTTAAGTTTTAATTTCATTTAGTTCGCATTTTAAATAGTTCGCCTTCTGTCATGTGACATTCAAATTGATACGGCACACTGAATTATTTGTTTTGATATTGAACAAATAAACATTTGAGCGTATCAACACAGTTTTGCGCTAAAAATCGTGATAATCATGTCTCGTTTTACAATATCTACGAACATAAAAGTATAGTCTTCTTATGTATAAGGAAAAGTTGAAAAGTTGTTAGAATATTCAACCACTCATGTAATCGTCAAATATAGAAAGCAGATATATGAGAAAAGTTACGGTGATGGTGCATTTTTAATAGTCCCACTTACATACATATTGTGTTTGATTTAGTATTCATATTTGCAATATATGAATATTTTGTCACAAAATTGCTTGGCTTATTTTTAAATATATGTACTAATCATTATCGAGGCTAAGGCCATTTATATAAAGCGTATTCGTTATTTAGTTTTGGCTTGAGGTTTGAATTAGTACTATGCCGTCATGAGTCTTATGGCATACATTACGTATACCTACTAATACTATAAATGAGAAAGTTTGTTTGTTTGTTTGTTTGTTTGTTTGTTTGTTTGTTTGTTTGTTTGTTTGTACTTCTTTCACGTCGAAACGAAGTGACGGATTTGCGTGATTTTTTGTGTGCAGATAGTTGGAGAGCTGGAGAATGACGTAGGCTACTTTACTTTGTAAACTTGGTATTATTGCTCTTCAATACAATTAAATAAATATGTAAGTGTTTTAGCATTCTTCGAAATTCATCCCATAAGAGAGTAAAATAAAGGATGAAAGTTGGTATGAAACCTAACTTTTTAGTTTTTTTTTTGTAGTTTTAGCGTGAGCGAAACCGCGGTTTCTGCTAGTATATACATATAAGTGTTGGAGAATAGGAGTAAGGAAATAAGGAATAGTACAAATCAATTTATGGCAAATGTATGAAAAAAGAATATTTTGGTAGCCTTTCCATAGTTATTTTCTTCTGATTAATATTTATAGTCGATTTTAACTCTTACTTAAAATTACATACTCCTTAATCGGCTATACTTAAAATTCTTAACACGATCAAGGTAAAACTTTGCTTTAAAAGGATTATTACCTTTTAAGTCACCTTGGTTAAAACTGTGTAAAACGAAAGACTATTTGAATAGCTTTTAAGTTAACACAAAATACTAGAAATAATGACAAACTGATAACGTTAAATTGGTAAAAAAAGTTGTTTTAAAAGTTATACAATGAAGTCCTGCAGTCAATATTGAGCATTAAAAAAAATTAGGTATTGCTCAAAGCATAATATCATCATTCCCTTTAGGAATACTGGCCAGATATAAATGTGTGGGATAAATTTTTGTTTATATCTATCTACTAAAAGGATAGATATATTAAAAATTGCTTAATATTAAGTATTGTACACGAAATACTTCTAAATAATTACTTTTTAACTAAAAAGCAACACTGACTAAATCCATTTAAAACATTATTGTAGGTAGGTAGTAGGTACCACAACCCATATGAGGATTTTTTTTCTTAAAATTTATTTACGAGCACTCTTATAGTACGATAGTTGGTTAGCAATTAAAATTATATAAAATACATTTTATGTTGGGTATGCCTACAGATCACATTAAATTTATATCTGCGAACGACATTCACAATAATAGCGTGTGTGTGTATTTGTTACTTCTCAGTGCTGTAACAGCCTAACGGATGCGGCATAAGCGAGTGGAACCGTATAACAAGTGTACGCTCAGTGGTCGAGGTTCGGCCATAATCATTATATAATAAACTAGCATTGCCCGCGGCTCTGCACGCGTTCAGATGACCAAAAACTTTTGTATTTTTTCTCAGAAATTAGATATTTTCCCGCAGTAAAAAGTATCCAATATGTTGACCCGGATAACCAGCTCATCACCATATCAAAATCTCTCCAGTGGTTTATTAGTGATGCGGTAACAGACAGACAGACAAAAATTCTAAAAACTATAGATTCGACCTCTGTATCGATAATAATGTTTATTTTAATAAGATTTTCCAAAAAATATTATGTACAGATTCGGCTTACTTACAATTTTATTATATGTATAGATTAGCTGTTTCCATTTTTTTTTGTTGATAACACTAAAGCATAGCTACTAAACAAAAAAAAGAATATCAATTGACAGAGGAGGAAAAGGCACTAAATAGTTGTGTCTTTGCCTATCTATAGGTATAATATATACATATAGACTAGTACTACATCTTGAAATCTTAAGAATGTTTTAAAGGGTAGCTAAGATTATCTTATACTAGTAGTTCTGCGAACAGTAGACCTCACGAGCACAAACTTTTTTGCAACAATTACTATACCACTAAAGTTTTGTGAGCAATTTATTGCATTTTTAGGAGCTATCCTGCTCATCACGCCGAAGGTCCTCATCAGATATTCACCAATTTTTTATGAGAGCAACTTAAAGTTACTACCTTTTAAATAAAAAAAGAACCATCGAAATCGGATTTCATTAGGCGGAGATATCCAGTAGCTCCCTTTTTGGACGAAGTACCCTACTCCAAATCAAATCGCAAAAAAATCGCCAACGACAAAAAAACCTATAAAGTCTAAAACTGGATACCAAGTTTCGTCCCGATCGATTATAAAGTAGGTATGACCTGTAGAGGAGTACCAACAAACTGGCAGCGAAAAGCAAATTTTGCCAGACTTGAAGCAGAGACGTTTCGCTCGCTCGGTCCACAAATACTATGAGATTTTTAGCGCAAAACTAACTTACTATTTTTACAGATACAAGTTCTATTGTCCTCGGAATACTAGAAAGATATAAAACTAGCCAAGTGCGAGTCGGACTCGCGCATGAAGGGTTCCATACCATTATCTATAAAAACGGCAAAAAAAATCACGTTTGTTGTATGGGAGCCCTGTTAAATTTTTATTTTATTCTGTTTTTTAGTATTTGTTGTTATAGCGGCAACAGAAATACATCATCTGTGAAAATTTCAACTGTCTAACTATCACGGTTCACGATGGCGGCGAAGTTTTAGTAATAGGGTCCCGTTTTACCCTTTGGCTATGGAACCCTAATAAAGATACCGAAAGTTAGGCTGGAACTTTCTGAAAAATACAAAGCTCAACGTGATTCAAAGATCTATAGCAAAGAAAACTTTTCAATCAACTATTTTAGTGAAACCACTCTAATGTAAAACTTCTTATTTCCATACATCTAGGAATTTAGCTCTAAACAGTAATTATGCTAAGTGATCACTAACTCCTAACAATCATTCATGTGTAGGTAGTTGATACCAACATTTTTAAAATTTCATTTTAACAAATATTCGTGTTCTCGTGCAATAATAAATTTTAATATTATCTATACATATGATAAAATTGTAACTAAGCCGAATCTGTACATTAAATATTTTTTGGAAAATCTTATTGAAATAGACATTATTATCAATACAGAGGTCGAATCTATAATTTTTAGAATTTTTGTCTGTCTGTCTGTTACCGCATCACAGAAAAACCACTGGAGGGATTTTGATGAAATTTGGTATGGTGATAGCTAGTTATCCGGGTCAACATACAGGACACTTTTTACCGCGGAAAAATATCTCATTTCTGAGAAAAAATACAAAAACTGCATTGTAAGAGTATACTAATATGTAAAACCTAAGAATTAGGTATTTGTCATCTGAACACGGGCAGAGCCGCGGGCAATGCTAGTAATATTATAAAATGACGTATTTTTTAATTGAGTATTTTTATAAATAGATAATATGAAGGTATAATAAATAGCCCGTGGTCGTGTCGACCAAAAAATATGTATGTAACATAAAATGATGTTGGTGTCTCTTTTAATCGTTTTTTTTATTTAGTTACATAATTATAGTAAGATTAATTAATTAATTTTGTGATAACATTGTTATAATGAAAAGTGCTAACATTTTATTGTTTATACATGACTTTAAACGCTATCGTTTATGCATATTGATTTTCTAATAAAAAATGACTAAGTAAATCTTTTGTATTTTTTATTTAAACGGTTATAATAAAAGAAATTTTGAAATTATGTTCTCATACTTTATTCATTTGCTTCTATTTTAGTACAGTTTTGTTCAAGCATCTGGGCAATGTTTAAGTAAAAATCATTTTCAAATGACTCTAATACTTAATTTGAGCATAATATTCAACTTAGCCATATCATAATGTTGACTAGATTATACTTTTTAGACTAGATAAAATGTTGATTAGAGTTTAATTAAAAGGATGAATTGGAAGAAATAAATATATGTTATTAGTAGAAAAATTTAGAAAATTATATCGTGATAAGTCAAACGAAATATTAATTAACTACGTATATCTATCTATCTATAAATATTACATAATATAATAAAATTCTAACGGGGTCGAATCTGTACATATTTTTTTAAGTCTTATTGAAATAGTGATTATTTTCGATACAGAGGCCGAATATATAGTTACTAGAATTTTTGTCTGTTTGTCTGGGAACGCGAAAACCACTGGAAAGATTTTGATGAAATTTGGTATGATGATAGCTGGTTATCCGTGTCAACGTATTGGATACATTTTACTGCGGGAAAATATATCATCTCTGAGAATATAATATGCACTTAATATATATGTTTACATACCTGTGTCTGTGGCGCAAGCCTTGGTGCTCCGCAGGAACATTGCTCGCCACAAAGACAGCCATTATCGAAAGCCCGACCCGATGCGAGGTCTCCCAAGTGCCGCCCCGACGGAGTGGCTAGCCTTAAAGCCGAGGCGTCTGATTGTGATCTGTGATGACCTCTGCGCGCTGCTGGCCTGATTTCCTCGGCAAGAATAGAATCTCTTAACTTCGTAGCTCTTGATTTTTTCGCGTCACCACAAAATGCTGTCAATAACCATGCCAGTCGCAAAGAAAATTCTGCACTTTGTTTACACCTATACACCAAATACGGTCGTAATACCTCCGCTACATCTCCCATTTCTATATACATTGTCGCTAATTGTGGGAGATAGAAATCTACATCTTCGTGTGGGAATGAGAACAATTTGTTGGCTAGGTAAGTTTGCACACCGGGTTCTTTAGAATTAAAAAGATATGAAATCGCCATACTCATATCAAATAGTTTACTTTCAAAAAGTCGTAGGAGAAAGTCTTTTTTTTTAGCCGCTTCAGAAGAAGTGGCACTAGCAGAAGTATTTGATGATTCTAAAACTGTGTCAGGTGGATCAGGTGGCTTTTCAGTGTCTTCTGGATTTCCAGAATCGAGACTTTCTCTCGATCTGGCTGCAGCAGGTGGTTGAGGTCGATCCTCATCATTCCCATCAGGAGGAGTATGAATGCCTGAATCATCTGATCCAGTCGGGACTTCGGGTGGTAGCGCTAGCCTCGGCGCGGGCGCTTCGCAAGATATGCGAAGCGGTGCGCCATCTGGTGAAGTCGGTGTCATGTCCTCTGGTATTCGTTGAAGAACGGAATCCAATGATCTGTTTCTTTGGTGGCCGCATCCTGCTGGCGGCCCGTTTGCGCCTGTCACATGTCTATGGACAAAAAAAGATATGATTTAATAATCTATCTATCACTTTTAAATTATAATAATGATTCTGTATTATGAATTACTTTTTAACGAATACATCGAATGGATCTTCATAATGTTGTATTCCCACAACTATAATCTTTCTAACCATTTGTAATATCTCACTAGCACTTATCTACAACTTTAAGTAAGCACACACGACATTCACTTATTTGTAAATTAGTATTACGGTCATTATAATATTATTTTTACAAAACTCCATATCAGAAAAAAAAACTCGTTGTATAAAGTGAGTGGTATATCATATCCCGCAATTTAAACAAATTAAAACATCGCGAACAGCGAACACACGTCCGACTCCAGCGTGACCGCACGGTAAACTATTTTACGCAATCAACAGCTTACTGCTTAACGCATAACGCATTGGCCATCGCATACCAGTCCAATAAGGATCACCTCGATTACGTATCTGGAACGCTACTAGACCATTGATGAAATAGTGAAGTATTGCAATTTTAGGGGCCTAAAATTATTTAATGATATAACTAATACATAATATATAATGTATTTATTATACAATGTATTATAAAAATGTTACATGTCTGAAAATGTTACATAAATATTTTATGAAAAAAAATATATGAAAAATTAAGAGATAGAAAATCAACAGGCCTTAGAACTTTTATGTACCTACTTGAATGTGTGCATTCTTCTTGTGAACTCACAAACAAAGCAAGGCTCAATCAAGCCTAGTAATTATGTACAAAATAAAAGTAAATTTTGATTGCAATCTGTACCTATTATATTTCGTATAATATGTTTATCTGAAAATATGTAAGGCATGGAAAAGGCAAAAGCTTTTTCAATCTATCGAGTAGTCCCCCTCGTGAGGTTACTAAATAACCGATATTGAATAATTTGTAAGAAGCTTTCGGGTGTCACTAGTGTTTATAATATAATGTGTATATAATGATAAATTAATAATTTATCAACTAATAATTATTTACTTTTGAGATGAATCAGTGATTGAGTACTCGGAAACATAACAAACACGTATATATGGTGCAGTTTTTGCAAGCATTAAGATTGTTAATCATTGTGTAACGGCGTATTCATGTGGAAGTCGTGCTTCCATTCTTAATATCGTATTTGTATTCAATGTGCTACAATAGTTCCTTATCGAACTTCTCAGCTCTAATTGGCAAGTATCTATAATGTATGTTTAATATTATAACTAAATCTAACAAAAATATTAACATAGATTCAATCTGCAGCGGAAAGTCGAAACCATCTTACCACTTAAACTAAGCTCTGTCTCTTCGTCTCTGTCCTACTTTTTATTTAAATAGCTGAGTCTTTTGAATTGTAATGTGGTAATGTAATAGGAAATCGGTCGGCATTTTTTTATTAACTGACTTCAAAAAGGAGGATGTGCTCAATTCGATTGATATATATTTTTTATGTATGTACACCGATTACGCTGAGATTTATGATCCGATATACGCGATTCTTCTTTAGTTTGATGCGGAATAGTTGCCATTTGGTCCCATAAAAATTTAATATAGTTTTGTCCAGTAGTTTTTATTTTTTGTAATATGTATAATTATGATACATATACCATAGGGTATTTGACATCTTTTATATAATATACTAGCATTGCCCGCGGCTCCGCCCGCGTTCAGATGACCAAAAACTAAATTCTTAGGTGTTACATATTAGTATACTCTTACATTGCAGTTTTTGTATTTTTCCTCAGAAATAAGATATTTTCCCGCGGTAAAAAGTATCCTAGGATCGCGCGCTACATCGCCCGGTTTATATAGCTTGAGCAGGCGGTCGAGCGATGCGGGGCAGAGGGGATGGACTCGCCGTAGGCATCTCAATGCTCGCCAAGCATTAAAAATGTTTCGCTACTAATTACTTCTAACAACGATATCTCAAAAACTATTCATCTGATTGATTTAGTGTAAAGAGCAATTTTAATCTGCATTAAATGACTAAGCTAACTAAAATATTCATTTGGATAAGGATTAATACCGAACTAAAGAAAATAACTTTGAAAATAACGTAATGTTTTAATTAAAAATGTTAACATAAAAGTGGTTATTGTAAGTCAACCGTAAGAGATAGAGATATGCTATCGCGGACTTTTTTTGTAGCATTTTTATAGATTTTGAATTCTCTAGTACATTACTTAACTGTATCTTTGCTAGTTTACGCGGCGTTCGCGTGGAAAGTTCCCATTTGGCGAGATTTTTTGCGACCTCTTCAACATTTGTCGCCGTATTTCAGCTAATTTACATAAAAGCATAATAAATTATATACCTAAACCTTCCTCAAGAATTACTCTTTCTATTGTTGAAAACCGTATAAAAATCCGTTCAGTAGTTTTCGAGTTTATCGCGTACAGACAGACAGGAGGACAGACAGGAGGACAGAAAGACGCGGCCGGGGGACTTATTTTTATAATAAGTATAGATAAAACAATGTTGTACACCATTTATAACTCAAGAACGGCTGGACCAATGTTTATGATATTTGATTTTTTGGATTTCTCTTAGTCCGGAATAGTATATTATAATATAGGATAGATAAGTATTAAGTAAGTTTAACGCTAGCTAATAACTATTTACATATTATATCTGATCAAAAGGTACCTAGCGAACTCGAGCGAAACGACTTTAAATAAAACTATATTTTCGGATTTTTTGGAATTTAATTTGATTTTTGGTTCCCAACGTTTCGAATGCTTTACAGCAAACATGGTCGACTGAGGAACTAAAGTTGTAGACGTATCAAAACGTCGAATACCAAAAATTAAAATAAATCCGCGAAAAATTCCGAATAGATAGTTTTTTCTAAAAAAATTTACCCACCCACTAGTATCATAGATTTTCATCATCAAGTAAGAAAAGTCTTTTTCTTAATAAGTTTGCACTATGTATGAATTATAGATGACACTATAACATAGCATTTTTAAAACATAATATTATGTATATGCTAGCTCTAAACGGTGACGATGATCAAATAAAATTTTAAATTTTACAAAACCAACAGTGATTTCTATCATAAATCATAATTAAATCGTTAGGATGTGCTTAGTTTACCTACTTTTTTGAATACTACCGGAAATGCAAGTATCATGGACAGAATTCATTTCATACATTAACATTCCATTGTAAGCGTGAGTAGGAAACAAATTAATACTTATCGTTATTTTATGATCGATATTTATATTAATATATTATATTATGCAGGTATATACATCAAAAATATGCTAACAGGAATTTTTAAAAAAACTAATCAACTAAGAATAAAAATAACATATTATATATTATATTAACTAGCTGACCCGACAGACGTTGTCCTGTCTACACGTCTTTAATTTGAAAATTTCAAACTTTTTTTTAATAAGCTAAAACATTCTGGACCATTTTGATGAAAATTATTATTCAAATTGTGAATCTAAACCATTCTCAGATCCCCTTGAACACACACAAAAAATTTCATCAAAATCGGTCCAGTCGTTTGAGAGAAGGTCAGTGACATACACACTCACAGAAGAATTATATATATAAAGATAACATAATGAATTATTTTTAAGAAAAATAAAAACAGACTTAAAAAAATACTATAAAGTCGAAAAAAACTTGCGTACCTACTGAGGCTGATCTATATGTGTATATATACATATATATACACATATAGATAGCGAAGCAGATATTTTCAGAGTCGGTGTGCTTTGATTCGACCGGCATTTTAAATAAAAATAAATTAAATTTTGGTAATAAAAAACAACTGAATTGAGAACCTCTTCGTGCTTGAAGTCGGTTGAAAATACACATAAAGGTGCATTAGATTTAAAATACTAAAGTTAGCACTACTTATTACCCAACTGCAGCGAAACTCAAATGAGAGTTACATATGTGTATATGTATCTTATATGTATGTACGTTTTAACGGCTAGTACGTATGGAATAGAAAAACTCTTTGAAAAACCAAAAAAAATCCCATGGGAACCATACATTTTTCCGGGATAAAAAATAACCTATGTGCTATTCCAGATATACATCATCTCTTTGCTCATCCAGATCCGTTCAGCCGTTCCGGCGTGATTGAGAAACAAACATCCATCCATACAAACTTTCGCATTTATAATAATAATGCGATGGGATGTGATGTATGTATCTATGTATTGTATGTCCGACCCTATGTTACCTTGTACTCGTAACTATTACTAAACGGTTTAACCGATTTTGATGATTCATACATCGATTTATATAAAAACAGTTAAAAATTAAAATGGCAGATTTCAGGCGCTAATTTGTGTATTGTATTGTATTCAGCCCTTTTTAACGTCCCACTGCTGGGCACGGGCCTCCCTTCAATACGAGGGGAATCAGGCCATAGTCCACCAAGCTGGCCAAGTGCGGGTTGGCGGACTTCACGTATTTTAAAAACTTACTAGGTTAATAGGGTACTTTTAAAAACGTACTCTCAGACATGCAGGTTTCTTCACGATGTTTTCCTTCACCGTTAAGACAAGTGGTAATCATGTTGGAAATGATTCGCACAAGAAAATATCAGAGGTGCGAGACCCGGGATTTGAACTCGCTTCACTCGGTTTCCCAAGCGGGCGCGTTACCTCTGGGCTACCACTGCCTTTGCCTTTGTGTGTCTTTAAAAATTGTTTCTTTCGTTTGAATAATTGATTCTTTCGTCAACTTGTTTTCATCTTTTTAGTTAGATTTTATGCAGTCGGGGTTTTTATTTTAATAATTTTGTTTTAATTTTATATTTACTAAAAAGAACAAAAGTTAATGGTTTTATTTAATACTTGCAATCTACCATGGCTTCGCTTAAGTTTCACTAAGACATACAACACACAAGAAGTGCACATAAACGAACTGTAGTTTTCATTAGGTACGTACTTAAATTATATGAACCACGCGTCACCTACATTACGTTGAAAGTACTATTATAACAGAACTCAGAAACCTTCAC